ACATTAAGCTTATTTCCTGAAATCTGATGATGATTATTGAACCTATTGCCAAACATCATATCAGGCAATTAAGTTAATTTTGGGATTTTTGTTTATCTTCCAAATTCATGTACATGCTAATTTGGTGAAATATTCTTGATGTATGAATTTTTTAAAACTATATTCCAAAAGTTAATATAAACTGATTTAAAGATCTACATCTTGTAGTATTTTTTCGTATAAAACACAGAACTTACTCGTATTTCTTTGTGGTATTTCTCATTAATGTTCAAGCCGGTTTGAGCTGGTCAAAAATAGACTACTGAAAATATGACATTTTGCCAGTCACATCATCTTTCCATCTGTTTTATTGGATATGTAAATTTTCTTTGAATACCCAGCTTGTCTTTCCATTTTGTGAAAATTGTAACATGATTTAAAATGTTTATAGTGAAGGGAGTAGTAGTAAAACCCGTTTTATTCAAAGAGTTTTGATTTAAACGATTTCCAATCGATGCCAAGAAATTGCCTCCGTTGAAATTTTGCAAACATCCCATAGAACAAATTACATGGATGATTAATTTTGACCATTTGGTATATGGCTGTGTTTTAAGTGAGACGAACACGCGGGTCATAAATTAATTTATTGAATGAAATCAAATCTTTAACTACTAATGGATGCCGTAGACCGGAATTTTTAGCGAGGATTTCTTGGCATGAAAGTAAGATGAAAATTATATTTTCCTATGGTGTACCCGATGCATGCCAAGATCACATAAAAAATTATTTTTCTAGAGCTCTTATGTCAAAAAGTGCTTCAAAGGTGGCTTCTAATTTAGTTTATGTTTTCACAATATTTGGTGTGCCAAAAAAACAGCATAGTGACAAAGGTCGTGAATTAACAGCTAAGGTTATATCTGAATTAATGCTAATGTGGCCAGAACTAGTTATTGTTCATGGGAAGCCAATACATCTACAATCACAGGATAGTGTTGAGTGGTCAAACCGAAATATTCATGACATGCTTACAGCCTGGATGAGGAACAACGAATTAACAATGGTCAATTAGAATCAAATTCGTCCATATACAAAAGAATTCTGCTCTACACAAAGTTATTGGACGATCACTAATTACAAATGATAGAAAAAATTACAACTGAAATAGTCTGTGTCATAGCTCTACATGCTCACCAATTGGTAACAAATTAATTCTCGTCAATACAATTTTCTATCAATATAAATATAAGGAGATGTAGTACGATTGCCAATGAGTCAACTATCCAACAAGTTCACATGTGTTTCAAGAGGTTTATTCAATGAGTTTTAACACCAATATTTTACTTATGATTTTATTTCATGTTATTGACATTCAAATTTCAGTTCTTATTATTTTATTAAATTAAGTGCGAAATGTATTTTAACTTTGAATAAATTTCTTTCTATTTATTCTCATTTTCATTTAAGGCATTAACATTAATGCCTGGACATAATCTTCATGACTTAAGTTTAAATCCTAGGATTTAAGAGTAATGCCTAACATTATTTAGGCAATAGACTTACTGCCTAGGCGTTAGCTTATTGCCTAGGATTTTAGCTTAATGCCTAATTGCGTAAACCCCTGAGGGTTTACGCAGTATATATTGGACGATGTCCGTAGTCTTTCGGAACACCGGATGTTATTCGGAATACATCTGTTTCTTTCTATGGCCACCTTTCATATACATGTGCAATAGCTTATTATTTGACCTGTTGAATCATTAGCATCTTAAAGTTGCTATAGAGATATGTTACATATGATGCGAAATTTATTATGACGCAAGCTACTTTAATAAGCATTTGAATACTTCCTTGCACGCAATTACAAGCTGCTAATATTTACCTTACATATACGCGTAGTTATTCTAATTAGAATCAAACGTTGAAACCAGCTGTGTTTAGAGATGAGATAAGATTTCACGTAAACAATGCGATTTATATTCGAAACGAGATTTGTTAAAACTAAAATCTATAAAAGAAGTATTACTAGCATTTCACTTAAGATTCCGAGTCTAGGGAAAATGTACATAATGTACGAAGCAGGCTATTTCATAATTTTCATACCTCAATGTCCTTGTGGGACTAACTAAAGGACAATACTGAAATTAAAATGAAGTCTTTCTTGCACTTTATTGAAATTTTACGTCTAGGATAGACCAAGGACGTATATAATCTAAATTGATATACGTCCTTGAATAGTTTTTATTTTTTTTTTAAATTGCAATTTTCTTTGTTTAAATATTGCAACGTTATTTCCTTATCAAATGTCTATTAATTAATAGACACCGAGTGATGACAGATGCAGGCAGAGATAAGAAAAATTAATTTCTACTTATATTTATCTTGGTCAGGGAACAGATTATCTAACTATATGTTCGGCCTGTAGTAATTAATGCTCTTCAAAATGTTCGTCAAAATAAAAATAAATAATTATTATTTCATAAAAACGATCAGATGATGAATTTTCGGTTTTAATATATTAAGTACGAAAATGTAAAATAGTGTAAGAAGATTTTGAGCCATCTCACTGATCAGTAGGCTACACAGTGCCCCCAAATGACCAGTATAAAACTATCCAGCAAGAGATAAAAAGGATAGCCGGGTCAATGTAAGAAACCTACTAGGCAACTTCAGTTCAATTTCAATATCTCGATTATTCTAATGGATTTGTCAAATGTCAGGGAATATCTTTTTAAATGTGGTAGGAAGACAACTCTCCATCAAAACACAGTGTAGTCAAAATTAGCAATTATAGGTTATAATTCAGCCTTCAACACAAAAGCTTGGCTAACATTGGACAGCATCCTACCGAGGGCCCCAAAACACTGTTATAAAACAATTTAAACAGGAAAAGACAAACAGATCTAATTTAACTTCAAACCAGAAACAAAAAGCAAATATGAACTGCACCAAAAAAAGACAACCACTAAACAACATGCTTCGGACTTGGGACATGTGCTTATGAATACACCTGGTTTAAAAGAATTTACATAGATACCATAAGACAATAGTGTAATTTTACCATGTAAAAGACACCCTTTAATATTTAATGAAAAAATCGTGTTCAGATAAAAAAAAATCGTATGGGTTCCGCGGAACCCAGTGTCTCGCCTACTTTTGCTGTAAATCGCAGGCTCAACAAAAATGAGGAAAAACATCAATAAAAATATTCCTCTCAATACTATTTTTTTTTATTTTAAGAAGCTTCTGTCCAAGTTTGGGAAAAATCCAGGATAGTTTATAAATCTAAAAAAATTAACTTCAGACTGTATGTAATGTTAACTGGAAGAAAACCTAAGTCCATTTATAAGTAAAATACAGATAAACAGGTACAAAATTTTAACAAAAAATTCCTTCTAGAAACTAGCTTTTAATCATAAACAAGCTTCTGTCCAAGTTTGGTACAAATCCAGGATAGTATAAGAAAGTTATTAAAATTTAAAAAAAAATTTAACCTCGGAGTGAATGTATTGTATCCCAGCAGAAAACTAAGTCCATCTATAAGTAAAATACGGAAAAAATGATATTTCATTTTTACAAAATTTACTTCTGGATACTATCTTATGATCATAAACAAGCTTCTGTCCAAGTTTGGTACAAATCCAGGATAGTTTAAGAAAGTTATTAAAATTTTAAAAACTTTAACCACAGAGTGAATGTATTGTTTCCCAGCAGAAAAAACTAAGTCCATTTATAAGTAAAATACGGAAAAATGGAATTTTATTCTTACAAAATTTACTTCTGGATACTATCTTATGATCATAAACAAGCTTCTGTCCAAGTTTGGTACAAATCCAGAATAGTTTAAGAAAGTTATTAAAATTTCAAAAACTTTAACCACAGAGTGAACATTTGTGGACGCCACCGCCGACGACTTCGACGGAATGTAGAATCGCTCTGTCTCGCTTTTTCGACTAAAGTCGAAGGCTCGACAAAAAGGAACACCTTACAACAGTTCATAAATGTGACCTTTAAACAAACTCATATTTAGGTGATGGGTATACCGATAGTGCCGGTAATTTCAGGTTTGACCATGTTAGTTTTTTTGTTGTTTTCAATTTTGTTTGTTTGTTTATAAGCCAGTACAAGGTGTAAGCTGTTTTGTCTAGGCTATAAACATCTTTTTTAATGAATTGGTTTCGGTCATCAAGGTGAAGAGGATACAGTGCGATTCAAATTGTATATATTTACAATTAAACTTGCAGGCCTTTTTTCATGACCCACAATTTAAAATATAAGAAAACATCAAAATAAAAAGGGACATCCGGAAAATATCTTCAAAGCGAGTTAAAGATTTTAAAAGTGTTTGTTTTTAACAAAAGAGGTTTGTCATCGAAAACTTTTAAGAGCATACACAAAGCACAGAACTTAAAATTGCATAAAAAAAACCTTGCAGAGCAGGTGTAAGGATCTTAATAATGATCAATATCAAGCCATTGTTCAAATAACCATGAACATATCTCAAATTCCAATAAAAACGGCTATTTTACAGGTTCACGTATTGCATTTCTTAAATACATATAATCATTAATTGATTAAATTTCTTCACATTTGCATTTGAACTTTAGTCTAAAAACTAAGTCTAATTTAAAAACAAAAACCAGCATCTTAGAATGCAACATCAAGTGGGTAACTTAACATGATGTCTTTCGGGAGAGAGGAGAGAAAAAAATATGCCTTTAACAAGGATATTTCACCCAACATTGAACAGTATTTACTTTAAGTAAACAGTCACTGTCAGTTTCTAATTCTTATATAACAAAAATGATATAAAACAATAAATCTTTTTTTTTCTTAACAATTATCTTATATCTAATGCCAAGCAAGCATTTGGGTTTACGATTGCATTTCTTTTTTTAAAGAAAGCAACTTGTTTCACTTATTGCCGCTAACATAGATCTATATATTTTCCAGGATACTGATAGCTGCTCCAGATTATTTTTCCTGTTGCTCTTAGCTGCTCTCGAGATTTGTTTCAAGCTGCACAAATATTTCTTGTCACAAGATTTGACTTTTATTTAAATCATTAGTGATTCGCACGCATTTTTTACATGTCATTATCGTAGAATAGTTTAAAATTACTATGCATTAGATACCGGAAATGACGCACTGTAAACAATATGGTGGAATAAATATTTTTGTTTCAATTTGATTGAAAATGCAAGTTGCAACAGGACGATTATGATTTTTGCTAAATTTTTAGTTAGTGGAAGAAAAACTGTGGTATGTGTTTGCAGCTTGTATTTGAGACAGTAGCTGTCCAAAAACCTGGGTATTGCCTAAAAATTGAGCTCAATCGTTGCAACTTGCAAGTTGAACGAGAGGACGTTGTTGACATGAATGCTAGTCAATTCGTTCCAACTTTCAAGTCCGATTCGTTCCAAGCCATTTGTCCCTGATTCCGTTAATTTTTCCCAAGGTCAATGGACAATTCATTCCAACTGGAGATCGATATTAAGCAGAAAAACAAGTAAAAAAAAAAACACAGACGGACACGGCAGGATATTTATCCCATAACAAAAAAGACACAGAAGTATAGAAGTGTCAATCAGTAATCATCCAAGATCCAATGGATTTAATGTAAAAAAAAATAATGAACAGTCGGAAAAAAACATGACTTTGTGCAGTGCTAAAAATACAGGTACAGACTACAGTGGAATCCCCTGGCTTTGAATCGTGCAGCCAATGATATTAGGCATTACCTGATTTGGTCACATCCACAATGTAACACAAAAGTAGAATCTTTCTTGTAATTGCTTTAGTCTTCTGAAGGGGCAAAAAAAGATTAAAATTCATTTAATTGTTAACCCTTTCACCGATAGCTGCCCAGCCAGAAGCTACTCTGAGACGATGGCTTCCCTGGCTTCTATTACTCAAGTGGGAGATCTTCATAATAAATGTCAATAAAAACTTGTAGTTATATGTGTCTTTATTTCATTCACTAACACCATGTTCACAGTTTTGTTCATGTTTTGATAATTTTTTCTTCATAAAATATTCAAATTTTCAAATTTTTGGCATTATCTAGGTGAAATTCTCAAAATTCTGCTCTTTGGGGTGCAGGTCATTTCGTAACCTGGTCGTTTCGTAACTAGTCAATTCGTAACTAGCTAGTTCATTTTGTAACTGAAACGTTTCGTAACCTTATAACAATATTTAATAATATGAGTTGTAGGTTATGGAAATAATGTTAATTAAATTTTTCGATTAAAAATAATAAATCAGGCTTTATGCCAGTGTAAACATGCAAACAAAGGACAACATAGTGAAGTTAATATTCTAAAGGATGACAATTAACAAAAAAAAAAAAAAAAGCCGGTCTACCGGTCCCCAGCCCGCGTGAAAAGGAGGAATGTTATTCAATAATTGCATGTACATGATGTAATAGTAAGAAAAAAAAGTAGAAAATATTTTTTTTCAGATCATAAGCCATTTTTTTAATCCTCTTCTTAATCACTTTACACCTAATTACTTTTTATCACCTGTCATAAAAATCATAAAACCATTAAGCATGTTAACCCTAATCATCAATTAGCCAAGAATTTAAAATTTTAAAACTGATTATTACAATATTATTATTATTAGATTCACAGTTTTTAAGTATAAATAACAAGAACAAAACTCAAGAAATTTATTTTGGCTTCAATATATAGACAATTTTGAGATATAAACACTTCCAGAGACAAAACTAATAGAGACACACTTTATAACCATATATAATTACACGAGGTACGAAACGTCTCAGTTACAAATCAACCTAGTTACGAATCGACCAGGTACGAAACAACCAGGTTACGAAACGACTAGCAATCGCTCTTTGACCCAAATTTTTTTTAACCCAAAACGGCAAAATTTGGAAAAATTTAATGAGGCTGTACAAATTCCTTACACTGAAAAAAAAGTATACTTATTACTAGTTTGGCTTCAATTCTTCCATATTCTTTAAAAAAAAATGTTCCCTCATTTCAAATTCCCGTAAATTCCCTAAATTTCCTCTGATTTTGACACGCTTTTCAACAAACTGAAGCGCTATGTTTACACTTTCATCCTGGTATTCAACAAAGAAAGATAACTTGTGTTTGCACTGTTTTGAGTGGGAAAAATAAAAAAAAGGTATACCGATCCCTGTAAAACAGGACTCATCGTCAGCTGTCTGAAGTGCATGGTAAACCGGGACTCATCGGCGAAAGGGTTAAGTTCAAGCATAAATTTATAAAATTTGTTCAATCCCTTGATTAACCATATTGAGCCATGTTGTATAAAAAAAATTACATCATCAGCTAAAATTGGTTTCATTTTAAGTCAAATTTGTATCAAAATGAAATAAAATTTGCTCTGCATCTTTGGCAGTCAGTTTGGTTCAAACTGAAATATAGTTTGTAGTATCAAATCTTTCCTGTATTCAAAATTAGCTATATTTGGAAGGCATGCATGAAATCTCCGGACATTTGAAGAACTGTCAAGACAGGGGTTTCCCTAATTTTGGACACACATTACTTAAAATCTTAAGGCTGAAACCATACATAAAGAAGATTTCATGAAATTAAAGTATGTCATGAAATTGTTCACAATATTATCTGATGGTTTTATGAGATAACCAAAGTAAAGCCAAAAGTCTAATGGGCAAGGATACACCGTATCGACACTCATACATTTTGTCTTTGTATTTTCCTTGTGTGAACACGAACAAAACCATGACAAACAACACACAAGGTAGATTCCATGACGGAATGTAAAAATATTTGGAATTTGGAGCCTTTTATAATATTTGAGTTTCAAAATTCAATTTACATGAGTTTTAAAGAAGTTAACCTATCAAAAAAAAGTTTTAGAATTCCACACCTCCAAGCCCAAACTTTTATAATTCTTTTGTTTTCTATCTTTCTTTGACAATGTTTGAAGTTATTTTTTTTTTTTCGTACAAGGAAACTGAGTAAAATTTTATATTGCAAAACACACACACAACCATTGCTAATGAGTAGTAACGATGCACATCAGAAAAACATAGTACACTTGGTATGGTTTTAATAATTATTTACAAGCATGCATTTATGACCCAAGCTTCAACAAAAGCTGAGTACAGGTTTATTCTTTTGATGAATTTTATATTAAATTGTCTTGAAATATTTACTTTTAAAAATAAATACTTTAACTGTCAATATGTCATTCCTAGTAAAAACCATATAAACTTTATATATGTACAGCATTAGAAATAAAAGAAATAAGGTTATTTTAATAGTTTATGTGGTAAAACTCTGTTCTTTAAAAAGTTGGAATGAATTGACCAAGCCACTTTGGACGTATTGGTTGGTACGAATCAGAGTTGGAACAAATCATCCAGATACCGTTGACATCCTACACATCAACTTGATGATGAGCTTTGAGTTGGACGGCTTGCATTAATCTTACTATAGCAATATTGCACGATGAGGATCCCATGATTAGCAAAGTATCAGTGGAGTGATTGACAAAATAAAAAACCAAAAACGTTAAATGTCTTGAAAAGTGCTATGTACAATTGAGTTATTTACCTTTTACAAAAAATTGCAATATACATGTATAGCAATGTTATGATTTAATTGTTTTAATCATAATTTATAATTATTTACATTCTTAAGTCTAAAAACAGAAATTTAAAGTTCAAAGTGCATACTAAATTCTCAAATTTAAAGTGCACAGAAATCTTTTGTTGTTAAAATTTTTAGAATTTTCATGATTTCATAAGCAATAAATTAGATAATGGGATTAAATATTATCTTAAAGTTCCAACTCATTATGTACTTTCTTTTTCAGCAAAGATTTTCCATTAGATAAGAAGACAACACAAGAATTCCCATGGAAAATCCTGAAAACAACACAAGAATTCCCATGGAAAATCCTGAAGAAATACTACCAGAAATTTTAGCAACCTTGTTTACAACATCCTCCCCGGCTACTGAGCTCGAGTCACTTCAGCTGATTCATAAACAGTTGCGCTCCCTGTCTTCAGGTCATAGCAGACATGTATCAGACTTTGATCTTAAATTTTCATTGACAGCACTTGAAGGAAATCCATACCAAGATGTCAGTATTGAAGTATTATGTAAAACGCAAAATTTATTGAATAAATTTACATGCTACTTGTTAGAGCGGAGGTTTGGTTGGTCTGAGTCCAATCAGGAAACTGGTGGACGTCGTGTTCGGAGAATGTCATGTACTGGAGTTACCCTAGAAGCCAGTGACGGACAACAGAAAGCTTTTATCAATGATCTTATTGACAGTTTGATTCAATGGTAAAATTCACAATAACATCGATCATAGTTCCTTGAAAAACAACATTATAAAGATGTAATCAGTGTTTATCTTTGTATTCTATGCACATAAAATCCGGTCCAGTAGTTCACAAGAAGTAGTCGGACCTTCAATTTGTTTACAGGACATGACGGACAATCCAACAATGTTTTGGTTGATCTGCCATAATTATTTGAGATCATTTTGTCACTGTCATGGAAAAATAGTTTCCTGTTCTACAAGGACTGTTGCATACTGATAGCTATTAACATGATCATGATTAAGAAAAAAATTGATAAGGGTCTGAAGATATTTCCTGAATTGTTACATTTATGTGTGATTGTTTGAAATTTGATCTGAATATATAAATTGTGATTATGTGAAGATACTTTACTGGAAATCGATATTTCAATGCTGAAATTTAAATGCAAATGCAACATTAAAAAAATACCAACTTCTACATATATGTGTATTTGATATTTTTGTCGTATGTTTTTAAAATTTACTCTACACATGTCTGATGGGATCAAATTTGTACATGAATTTCAATGCTCAAAATATATTTGTTTTTTAGGTATGGAATATTTGAATTTTTGGTTTGAGGAATAACTCTAATTATTTCACAGGATGTAGAATGTCGGGTACATAAGAAAGGAAATTTTAGGGATATGGAATGTCTTGTCCTATAAGTTTAAGATACAAATGTATGAACAAAATGGATTAAGGTTGATTTTGCTTTAATACTATTTTACTTTCAGGTTGATACATCAGAAGATCACAGAATCACTTTTAAAGGCTTTTGAATACACATTGAAGCAAGGTTAGTCATATTAATCAAAGAAAATAATTTTAAGCATTTCTTATTTCAATGTTCTACCCAGCATTATGATATTGCACCAAATTTATAATGATTTTTTTAAAATAAAGTATATGCAGATACATGTATCACGATGATTCCATGGTGCTTTAATCCTTTCGGGAGAAAACTGTAATTTGCAATGTACTTATACTTGATTATGGAAATTATATATGGATGCAGCTAAGGCAGCTAAAAAATGTTAAGCTCATTGTGACCAAACGTGATCATTCTCAGTTAAGAAAAAAATTCAGATGTTCTCCTGCTTCAAATGCCATCATAATAAGTAGAATTTGAGAAAAATCAACAGTTATTCTTTATTCAAAGAAAACAACAATAAAAGAACAAAAATAAAACACCTGCTTACTGGCCCTTGTAATTTTCCCTTTTTTTGGCTGACTGGTTCAACAAAAATATTCTTTAAATTTCTATATATATTTCTCTTCTATAAAAATAAGGAGTAGTGAGTGGTATGATTGCCAAGAGACAACTATCCAAAAGTGACCAAAGGACGAGGATGTAAGCAACTCTTGGTCACCATACAGCCTTCAACATTGAGGAAATATCATACTGTTTAGTAGGCTATTAATTATTATTATTATGAGATCTTAATATGTGTAACAATTCAAAAGAGAAAACCAACAGATTGATTTATGCTAAAAAAATAAAACAGAAATAAATATGGCAGACATCAACCAATGACAACAATTGAATGTTTACAAGCTCCTGACTGGGAACAGGCTTGTAAATCCTCTTTTAAAAGACTTGTTATTGGCCCTACTACACTTTCACTGTCCTGGGCCTGCGAGTTTGTGGTTAAAGATACACTGATAAACTTTTGGCAGTGTAGATACATGTATGATATTTAGAATGTCTCATTTCATCACAACCTTGGACATATAAACCAAGAAATTGTACTTACAAATCACTTTAAGAAAATACCATGAATTAAATTTCAGGCAGAGGTGGTCGATGTAAGTAGACAGAGAGATATTAACATAACAGGCATGCTTAATATTTCACTGATAAACCAGCCGATATCTGTAGTTCAGTTTTACCTTTATAGATTTGAAGTTTTTTTTTTGCATCATCAATTTATGTACAATTTTACTTATACATGTAATTTAAATGTAATGAATATACTGTGATTTAAGGGACTGGTGTAATATTTGAATACCAGTACAATTCTTTAACTTCATTTCAAAGTCTATGGGCTTTTCTTATGGTTACAAGACCGTAAATAAATTCCCTTGCTGAGCCGTTTGATATTTTACTCTGCTTAAAACATATTTTAGCTTTTAATAGTAGAATGACAATATGAGATATACATGTAGTTAGATATTGCTATAGCGCATTTTGTATATCATTGTTCTTTATAAAATTTCAAGCAATCTGTCCAATATAAATGAAACATGCATATTTATTCTGAAATATGAAATTTACCATAATTTTACGGCAAAAAGCTTTAGTATATTAACCTGCTGCTATAATTATATGACTTGGGAATCAGATTTTTAACAGGTTTTTTATGTTCTAATTTTCATATAGCATCCAGGTTAACAGGGAATTTTAAAAATACATCTTGTTTCTAGAAATTATAGCAACACCTCCATAATGCAATCTATATAAAAAAAAATCTTGTCAGACAACATCACATAACCATGATACTAAAATGCCCTGGGAGTTCACTGGGCTTATATAATTTAATCTTCACTTTTCCAGTTCAGTTATTTTTCAGAACAATTAAATCTTCACTTTTCCACTTAAATCATTTTTCAAAACTTGTCACAATTGTTTTTGAAATTAACTCTGAATTTGCATCTTTCATTATTTTTTTTTGCAAATTTGGATGTGTATTGAATCGAGATTAAGATAACATGTGGTTATTGCCAACTTATTGGAAAAAACAAAATATCAATTTATTCTATTTCAATGCCACTATTTTTTCAAATATAATATAAGAAGAAACATAAAACTGTTCAAGAATAATATCATGTTTTAAACAATTCATCAGTTTTATAATAATGTAGTTTTTGTCAAGCCTGCGAATTTTGTCGTAGAAAGCTCGACATAGGGATTGTGATCCGGCGGCGGCTACGGCGGCGTTAGCTAACTTCTTAAAAGCTTTATATTTTAGAAGGTGGAAGATCTGGATGCTTCATACTTTGTATATGGATGCCTCATGTTATGAAGTTTCCGTCAGTCATATGTCCAATGTCCTTGACCTCATTTTCATGGTTCAGTGACTACTTGAAAAAAAAGTTAAGATTTTTTGTAATGTTAAATTCTCTCTTATTATAAGTAATAGGATAACTATATTTGGTATGTGCGTACCTTGCAAGGTCCTCATGCCCGTCAGACAGTTTTCACTTGACCTCAACCTCATTTTATGGATCAGTGAACAAGGTTAAGTTTTGGTGGTCAAGTCCATATCTCAGATACTATAAGCAATAGGTCTAGTATATTCGGTGTATGGAAGGACTGTAAGGTGTACATGTCCAACTGGCAGGTCTCATCTGACCTTGACCTCATTTTCATGGTTCAGTGGTTATAGTTAAGTTTTTGTGTTTTGGTCTGTTTTTCTTATACTGTATGCAATAGGTCTACTATATTTGGTGTATGGAATGATTGTAAGGTGTACATGTCTAGCTGGCAGGTGTCATCTGACCTTGACCTCATTTTCATGGTTCATTGGTCAAAGTTAATTTTTTGAGTTTTGGTCTTTTTTTCTAATACTATATGTAATAGTTCAACTACATTTGGTGTATGGAAATATTTTATGATCTATATGTCAGTCACGCAGGTTTTATTTGACCTTGACCTCATTTTCAAGGTTCATTGCTCAGTTAAGTTTTTGTGTTTTGGTCTGTTTTTCTTATACTGTATGCAATAGGTCTACTATATTTGGTGTATGGAATGATTGTAAGGTGTACATGTCTAGCTGGCAGGTGTCATCTGACCTTGACCTCATTTTCATGGATCAGTGGTCAAAGTTGAGTTTTTGTCTTTTTTTCTAATACTATATGCAATAGTTCAACTATATTTGGTGTATGGAAATATTTTATGATCTATATGTCAGTCAGGCAGGTTTTATTTGACCTTGACCTCATTTTCAAGGTTCATTGCTCAGTGATCATTAAGTTTTTGTGTTTTGGTCTGTTTTTCTTAAACTATAAACAATAGGTCAACTATATTTGTTGTATGGAAGAATTGTTAGCTGTACATGCATGCCTAGCATGGTTCATCTGACCTTGACCTCATTTTCATGGTTCATTGGTCAATGTTTAGTTTACTTGGTTAATGTTAAGTTTATGTGACAGTTGTAATAAAGCTTTATATTTAGGACTATCAACATAATATAAATGATTAGTAAAGAAGGCGAGACATTTCAACGTGTGCACTCTTGTTAAGCTATTCATTGAGTTAAGAAAGATTTAATTTGGACTGTTTTACTTGCACTGTGTATTAATTTTTAACTTTCCATTATCATTGGGTGTATGAGTGTATTGATAAAACATTTATTAGCATCTCAACAAACTTGAAATCTTTTCTGTTTGTAATATCCTCAAACCTCTGTGTTTTTTAATTTTTGTTTTTTAATTTTTAATATTTTTTTATGGGGGGGAGGGGGAGAATACAGAATTCACCCTGTTTATCTGTCTATCTTTGTAAGTGCTACTCTGTCTAAAGGGCTAGAAGGATATTGATAAACACAGACACTGCCTGAAAATGTGCATTAAGAATATAATATCGGTTAGCATGTTTAAGGGAATATAATTGAATTCACATACTTCAATATACTAATAGTATTGCAGGATAAGGGAATTGTTTTGTGAGTTCACAGTTCTACTTTTATCAAATAAATATAAGAGAAAGTAGAGAATTGAAGAATATGTTAGATTATGAATGAACTGTTCGTAGAAATTTTCATAGAAGTGCCCTCCAAGTGGCCATGGCAGCTAATGGAATATGGGAGGTTTAGCAAACTATAAAACCAGATTTAACCCATTATTCTCTTTGGAAAATGCCTGTACCAAGTCAGGAATATGGCAGTTGTTTTTCACTTGTTCAGTTGATTGATAGCATTTGATTAAATTGATTTTGTCAGTTTTTATGGACTTCCCCTTTTTGAATTTGCATAAGCAGCCTTGGAGTTCTATATTTTTGTTATACTTTTTTATATTAAAGAATAATAAATGTCTCAGATTTGAAAAAAGCATCATAACTACCATAGGCTTTGTTTACAGATAAAAGTTTTATGTGGCTCTTATGAATATTTAGTTTATTGACATTCAGCATAACAAGTCGGAATATCTTTTGATAAAACCTATAAAAGGTAAGATTAAAACATTATCTGGATCTTATTTTTCATTGCAGTAACAAATATGCCTGTTGTCAGAAACAGAGCTGTGGTTCACATTATGGATTGGTTAAAAGAAAACAGGGAGAATCTCAAAACATGTTTATCATGTTGCACAATATTGGTGAGTGGACTCTGTATGTTCTCAAATCATATCAATCTTTTACCCCAGTATTTGTGTTACAACAGGAATACTGGTATATCACAAGGTTATCTAAATGTCCAAAGAAAAAATCAGTGTTGTAAAAAATAGAAATTCTTTTACATGATCTGAAGATTAGTACAATTATCTAGTAAGAAATAAAAGAATTTCGGTCAATGTTGCTGTGTTGTAGTAAACAATATAACTTCAGATCCTTTTACTTATCATCTCTAAAGACCCAGAACACTGCTGAAATATATATATTTATTATTTTCTAAAAGTTTACCATATGACAGACTTATACAGAGATTTTGATATTTTTCTCAACTCATGTAAAATATATAGCTTTTCAAAATAAAGAGAGACAACCTAATCTTCTTGTAAAAATTCAATAGACTATGACATCAACATGTCTGCAGAAGTGATAAAATGCACTAATGCATACATTATTTGATGTACATGTAAGTCTGTAACTCTCAGAACATAAATATATATAACAACACAGCAAATATGCTTACAATTGAAATCCAGGAGATTTCTGTATCTAAAATGTTCATATTTGTGATTACAAAAGGAAATTATAATAGGGTGTTTATCAGATTTTTGGGTCGCTGTGGTACTGTGAAAAAAAACTAATTCTACTTGAGCAAATAAAATTGTACTGATCGTGTATAGTGTCTTTTCACAACTGATCAAGAGAAGTACTGGATTTTCCAATTTCATTTATCACTCATACTAAAATTTAGAAATTTACAGTATCTGTAATGATTGCTTCTGGACTTAAATGGTACATATATCTCTGTTTTCAGGTGTTAATACAGATGTCATTAACAGATGTGTGGTCAGCTATCAGAAATTCTTGTTCTAAACAGTTGGGTCACATCACACCTTACCTGCCTCTCCAGTACCAAGAGGAACTTTTCAATCAGTTAGTCACAGTAAGTTTTTGTTCTTTTAGATAATCATTATAAAGCAATAGTTTTAAGTCAGCAACTGTGTAGTGAAAACAGTATAAACACAACAAGATTGTATGGGTCCTTATTTCTTTATCTTCTTATGGAATATGAATAATTATATGGGACATGAATAAGTGCTGTGTAACTATAAAATTTATCAGTGTTTGACAGACTATCTATTTAAATTCTATGAGAATAAAATGCTTCGCCGAGCGCAGCCTGATACGACCGCAGAGGTCGAACCCTGAATAGCTGGGTCAAGTTTATACACAATATTCAAGCTTGATACCGTCTGAATTTGGATTGTGATAAAATTTTTGACATAATATATGTTTCTGACACAAAATAAATGTGGTCAAAGATTTTAAAAATTTGAAATGGGACATTTAATTTACTTAGTATGGTCTGATATCCAAAATCTAAACAACACTGTTAGATTCAGCATATAGAAAAACACCAAAAATATAATTTTAGTTGAAATCAAACAAAGTTTAATTTTGGACCCTTCAAACCTTAATATGGACTAATTTGAAAACAGGGCCCAAAATAAAAAATCTAAATGCACAATAAGATTCAGCATATCATATAGCCGCAATAATTCAGTTTGGGGCCCAATATCCAAAATAGTAATACAAGGTTAGAACCCCCAGAAATTAAAGACTTAATTGAATCCCATTGAAATTGATTAAAAGATCTGTATTTATTTTCAATTGAAGATTTCTTGCTATTGCGCAATACTGTGCTATTCTGATGAAATTATCGAGTTTATTTCACATGTGAAATTATCGGTTTTTATTTCACTGGGAAATCACGGTAATTCATTGCAACCAATGTAATGAAATAATTTACACACCCTGTTTGGTGTGTATCTCCTGACATATCAGTATCTGTTGCTTTTGTATATAAATCAGAAATAATCAATGAAAAAATGGAAAATTTTTGGGAATAAAAAACAAAAAAATTATGGGGAAAAAAAATCCCCCCAAAAAATTTGAAACTAGAAAAATGCTTGTTTTTGCACCTTTTTTACCCCTTATTTCTAAATGTTTGGGGCATTTACCCCCAAACTCAATCCCAGCCTTCCCTTTGTGGTATGGAACCTTGTAGTACAATTTCAGAGAGATCCATACACTTAAACAGAAGTTATTGTCTGGAAACTAGAATGATATGAACGACATGATAGCATTATACGAACGCAAATATTTTGCGGTTGTATTAAAAAAATCATTCAATGCAATGATCAATATTGTAAAATTTGAAATTTTTCACTTCAATCCTGTACCCATTTCACGTGATGTAACTTTTTAATAACAAAATTTTCCTCTGTATTACAATTTTTCTTATATAATTTCAGATTTGTAAGTGTCCAAAAAGTTCCTGGCAAGCCAAAGAGGGTGCAATCATGGGTAAGAAATGTGCTGTCTCATTCCTTGCTGTAAAATCTGACAATTGTTTAAAAACGAAGAAAATTGTTTCCAAGAAAGGCAAAACTATGAAGATTTAGAATGGTTGAAGAAAAATGTTAATTTCTTTGTTATGATTTTATATGGATATAAAATAAGAAGATGTGGTATGATTGCCAATGAGACAACTCTACAACAGAGACCAAATGACATAGAAGTTAGCAACTCTGGGTCACTGTATGGCCTTCAACAATGAGCAAAACTCATACTGCATAGTCAGCTGTAAAGACAAATATTAAACAATTCAAACAAGAAAACAAAAGGCCTGATTTCTGACAATACCATGAACGACAAAAACAAATATGATATACAGTAACATACGACAACCACTGAATTACAGGCTCCTGACTTGGGACAGGCACTCACAGAATTTGTTGGGGGTAAACATGTTAGGGGACACCCAACCCTTTCCCGAATCAGGGACAGTGGTGCAACTGCATAACACAAGAGCAAACTGTACAAAACAAAGAAAAAAATATTTTTATTATGATGTTGATATTTGGGAAAAGTTCAATTGTCATAATTTTTTGCATAAATGATATGTTTTTGATATGAACATGCAGCACAAACATAGAGAAATCACACTTATGGGATCTTTCAGACACCTAATTCCTGTACTGATACTTAGAACTTTTCAATATGTTAAATGAACAGAATTACTACATATTTAGTCAGTAGCTGGGGAGTGATCAGTTGTGGTACATAAATGCTTTTCATTTCTGTCAGTCACCTGCTTCCTTTTTTCTGATACTTTGAATTACAAATGGGGGTATGATTAGCACGACAATGTGTGCAACTTCTTTTTTAAATTGTGTAGAAATTGATTTTTTCTCTATCAAAAAGTGTGTTTCTTTATTATCTAGGTATAAATGCTATGGTACATCACTACCAAGACAAAACAGATGTCAACTTTGGATTGGAGGAGGAATACAAGGTCAGAATTTCCTTAATTTACTTTTTGTTTGTATGATATTATTGGAAATTTGATACAAAATAATTGAAAATATCTCAATCTATCCAGAAAGCAAAAAAAAAATATAGGAATAAAAAAAAGAGATTTATCAAGCAAAAAAGAGATTTATCAGGCAAAAAAAAAAAGACAACAAAGCACTAACAAGCAAAATAGTTGGAAAATATGAATCTTGTAGCAATCAATGAGTAAAATTGCTGGAAAGAAGATACAGGAGAGAAAAGAGGGTAACAATTATTATTTTCTAATTTCAGAAATGCCCAGCACCAGAATATATATCTAGTCAAATACATGATGTTGTGTTTACACTTCTATCTAACCCACAGCTTACCATCAGAGAGAATGCTGCTAAAGCTATTTCAGGTTACATATCCTCTGCTGACATGAAGGTACGTGTAACAGGGAATATTTTTAGTCTCGTCATTCCTATCTAAGCCACAGCTTATATAAAAAACAGTTACTATGACATAAGTTGTGAAGTCTAACTGGAAATTTATTTTTTTTTAAATATGGGTGCCTTGTAACTGAATGGTCAAATAAGTTCATCTACTAGTCTGTCATTACTGAGGTTTCAAATTTGAACCCTACTCAAGGCAAGGTGTATTTGATTTCAATATAAATTGACTAGGATTGCAATTTTTCCTAAAGATGGTTGGTGGTTCCTTCAAGGTACTCTGTCTTCTTCCACGATTAAAACACGGCTGCTGTGACAAGTGTGCAGAAAGTGGTGTTAAATACCAACAATCAATCTAAAAAAGTTATGTCAATTCGCCTGTTCAGAATCTAAAGGACTATGGATAATCTCATTGTTCGTACACCAAAATGAAAATAACATTACATCATTAGTTGAATTTCCATTGTTTTTACCCAATCACAACATTTTGGTGTCACGTTTAAAAATATTACCCAGAATGCATTAGATTCTGAAACTGCGAACTCTTAAATGTTGTAGCATCATGGAAACAGAGATATTTATGATGGTGCTACAACTTCTCAATATATAATTGTATTTTGAAGGAAGTGGAATTTTTTAATTGATCAATTTAAATAATGGCATCTTCAGTGTTTTGATTCCTGAAATTATGTTGCCATAGCAACGGTAACAGCTTATTTATTCAGTTAGTCATAATTAAATACCATGGTTCACATTGTTTTAAGAATCTAAAATGTGTCATTTTTCAACGAAACACTTGAACTTTTACTATCTATGGAAAAAAAAAATATTAAAGGAATTTTTTCTTCGTTAATCCAACAGAGAGAGATGTGTTTCTTTCTTTTCAGAATTCTGAGAGTAAATTGATATTATTCAACCTGCAAATTTGAACCTTACTATTTCACATATTTTGAGTTATTCATTTTCTGTATAATTCTTCTTTTACTAAAATCCATGATTTTGAAATTTCCTTTTTATATATATATATAATGCAGACCTGCCAACTATCCCGATTTATGGGAGATCATATCCCGCATGAGAGGTGGTGACCTGAATTTTGAAATTCTTTATCATATAAACTGAAGACCTCAAAACAGACATTCAAATGAGTTAAAAGGGTATTTAACCACATAAATAATCATTCAAACAATATAGAAGTAGATTAAGAACACATATGACAATTATATAAGAGGAGCATAAGGTCCACTTGCACTTAAATTCCCCCATGGAGATTTTGAAAAATTGGCAGGTATGATAATGTTGAAAATTTTCTGAAGTTTGTTTTTGATTACAGGAAGCCTTGTCAACATTTGAACAAGTACTGACTCTACTGAGAAATGATGTCTTTGTTTCAGACCAAGTACAAACAGTTGTGAGTAAATTTATTATCAAATCACACCATACAACTTTAATTTATGAATAACCAACAAGACATCTTTGAAGAATTATTTTACTTGATAACTTTTTATTCATTCTGGTTTTAAGCCCTTATAGAGTTATCACATTTATTATCTCTGCATGCATGTTAAAAAGACTTATTTTACAGTTTGAAGTGATATCAGCTTTTTTAGAATTTTACTAGATGTACCTGCTTATTTAATTTAAGATGGATATACATAAAGATATATTATACCACTCCATATATAAAATATTTCTCTCTGAAGAACTTTACATTTTCAATATTACAAACACAAGGCTTTCCAACTGGTTTTAATTTTCTTAATTATAATTTGAGAGTAGAGTGATGTGGCATTGAACTACAAGTAGTGGCAGAATAGGTTTCTTTAATGATTTTTGGAATACAAAGAGTAGCTGGGACAATTTTTCTGGTGCTCATTTAAATATGTGTGTATTTTTCTGTTCATCATTCAAAGTGACATCAAATTAAATATAGAATGACAGGCATGTGACAGGAAAATTTGAGGTCATAGTTGAAGGTCTACTAAGATGAGTAGAGAACAAGCAAACAAATGGTTGATTATTAAGAAATAAACAACTAGCTGGGTAAAGTTGTAATTAACTGGGAAAGAGAAAAAAGAGAAAACATATTTTGAATTGTCTTTTTAAGAAAATATAAGTAACAAATTTTGCAATAAAAATGGAATTATTTGAATCTGGAATAATTTTGAATTCTGGAAAATTGATAAGAAATGTATAATGAAATCTACCCCAACATAGGAGGGTTAGCCATATATGTGCATGGCTAAGGGGGGTTCAGTTAGTTCAGTGAAAGTAATATGAACCCTCAGTAATTGGGTTAGTTTTCGTCATAAATCTCTTATCAATTTTCCAGAATTCAAAATTATTCCCAATTCAAATAATCCTTTGTTAATAGTAATATTAAAACACAAAGCCTTTTTCCCTTCAAAAAAGATATTTATACAGATCTATTCCTGTAGCATATAATTATAATGTTTTGTTATCATTTACATATTTACTGTTGAAAAAAGTTGTGACTTACTTGTTAATTTCAAAAAGGTTATTATCTTGTCTTATTGATAAAAAAAATATAGATATCTTATGTTTGTTTGTTTTTTAGATCTTACCAATAGAATTATTGGATGACTATGCAGCAGAAGGCTTCTTAAATGTCAGTTTGTTTATACTGAAAGTAAGTATAGAGAGTACACATAAACTTAAATGTCAGTTTGTTCATACTGAAAGTAAGTATGAAGAGTACACATGAATTTTAATGTGTGTTTATACTGAAAGTAAGTAGAGTGAGTACCAGTACACATGTACTTAGCTTTGGTTTGTTTATACGGAAAGTAAATGGGTCTAGGACAAAAGCCTTCTGGACAAAAAACCTTGTTGACAAATGCCAGTTGTTAATAATTACATACATTTTTTAAACTAATGCAATATATAATTCTAGGAGTTTAAGCTTTTTCCATAAAATGAAAAAGAATATTAGACTTGAAGTATAACAATCTATTCATTAAGCATTATTAAAATAATAATTAAAATTGACAACAACACTTCAAAAGATCTGCAATTTTATTATCTATGTCTACATGTTTCGCCTGCAAGGCAGGCTTCATCAGGACAATTTTTATACAGAATTTAATCCCTGAAGTACTCAAAGTGGTGCATGAAATTTGACGTCGTCATGGTGAGAGAAACAATGAAAAGTGAAAGTAGCAATACAGAGTTATAAATAGATAAGATAAATATAGAAAATTAAAGTTTGTTTACAATGTAACTTGAGTTTGTTTTACTATTATATGATACATGAAATTGTTCTAATGGCTTGGTATCTAATTGGACGAACTTCCCATGGTTCCTACCACTTCGCAAGGCTTCTCTTCCAACCTGGCCATTGTTGGAGGTTACTACTTCCTGGCGCGTCGGCAACACATAGGAAGATTATGGTCGCCGCTATGTAATAGATAATAAAATTGCAGATCTTTTGAAGTGTTGTTGTCAATTTTAATTATTATTTAAGGATTGCATTCATTTGCATGATTTGACAACCCGGCATACCAAGGTATCCACTTCAGGGACTCTACCAAAACGATTTCACAGGCGTTGGTTCACCACACGGAATTTAATTTATTATTTAATCGTGAACCCCTGCATCCGAAAGGAACCGCCTTGCTACACGCGCCAATCTACAGGCCACCAGCATATACATGGACCAAGGAATATTCCATACTTGCGACGAAATAACAACTGAACCAAGATGACCAAGAAATCCGATACCACCTTAACATATATATATAACTGTTAGCAGAAAAAACGTACCACGGGCGCCGATCTTAAATGAACTAGGAATTCACAACCATGCTATTAAACAGAACAACTACTGCAGACGATCCAAAAATTATAGAGAGTCACCAAATAATTAACAAGGGAACATTTTTTGACAATTTTATTTTACATAGCGGCGACCATAATCTTCCTATGTGTTGCCGACGCGCCAGGAAGTAGTAACCTCCAACAATGGCCAGGTTGGAAGAGAAGCCTTGCGAAGTGGTAGGAACCATGGGAAGTTCGTCCAATTAGATACCAAGCCATTAGAACAATTTCATGTATCATATAATAGTAAAACAAACTCAAGTTACATTGTAAACAAACTTTAATTTTCTATATTTATCTTATCTATTTATAACTCTGTATTGCTACTTTCACTTTTCATTGTTTCTCTCACCATGACGACGTCAAATTTCATGCACCACTTTGAGTACTTCAGGGATTAAATTCTGTATAAAAATTGTCCTGATGAAGCCTGCCTTGCAGGCGAAACATGTAGACATAGATAATAAAATTGCAGATCTTTTGAAGTGTTGTTGTCAATTTTAATTATTATTTAAGGATTGCATTCATTTGCATGATTTGACAACCCGGCATACCAAGGTATCCACTTCAGGGACTCTACCAAAACGATTTCACAGGCGTTGGTTCACCACACGGAATTTAAATTATTAAAATAAGTTTGGCAACAATTTAAGAATTGAAAACAACAAACAATGTATTTGAAAGTTTAAACAAAATATGGAAAGATCACATGCATAGTTGAGACTGAATCAATATATGTGGATGTTGTATGCAAGAGCACAGAGATAGTCCAGGAGATGACTTTAGTGTCAGACAAACAATTGAAATATTTAAGGAAATGAATCCTGATTGTATACACAAACTTACTAAATGAACAGGGAAACAAAAGAATGCTTGTTGTTATGTCTTGAATATAGAACATTTCCTTTTTAAAGTGCAATTATTAAGACAGTTACACTCATCTTACATGGGAGACCCACACATTTTGCATGTCAAAGGGCACTAAAATGTATCTGTAACTATGACATATAGAAAGTTTACATTGCCTGACATTGCAGTCATAAAAATTTGAGTACTCAGACTTAGAATACAACCAATCAAAATACTGGATTTGCTGTTTAGAGCACACATTTTGTAATCGAGTATTGAATATTATATAGGACCGAGAGCCCGGATATCTACAAGTTAGACCAGAAATAGTAAAAAAATTCATTAAGTTCGTAACTATAAGCATTTTTGCTTGGACTGTGGTTAACCTCTGTACATTTTTTCTTGCAGGTTTTGCCATTGAAGGTACTTTTACCAAGATGGCCTCAATATATATCAACATTCCTCTTATATCTATCTCATCAGGCCTCCACAGTCAGGCAGGCAGCCAGTAATATATTCAAATATCTAGGTAAGTGTGGCAACCTACCAATCAAAGCATCTTTTGAATTTTTTTTTTCTATTTCAATTAGTGACTTGCCTGCATTGTACATATACTGCCAATTTAGATTTATACGGAACATGAAAATAATCCAGATATAATATTTTGCAGTTGCCAAGAGTAGTCATTGTGTTGTGTTAGTAAAACTGGTTCTTCAGTGTTTGATCCAGGACTGGGAACCAGACATAACCCACCTGACAATACCACATGATCATCACCATAGTATGTTATCTCAGGGATCCAGGATACCTTCTGTAAACTCTGCAAATGGTGAGTTGACTGCCATTTAAAAAAAAGACCACTTAATAAAGTCTTTTTTACCATTTCTGTCTTACTTTGCATGTAGTTCAATTCATTCGCATGTACCAACAACATCAAAAGACAAAAAAACTCAAACAAGCAAACAAGGGAACACAACATATATTAACTTTGTGATCTTATGATGTCTTGTGCAAAAAAATCTGTAGAATAAATTGTTTCTACTTTATATTAATCATTTTATTCTTGTTATTAAAGGTTGAAAAGTGATCAACTCTTCTATATTTTTTTTTTAATTGTAATTTCATGTTACATGTTATAGATAGTAATGAAAATATACTATGAATTGATCAGGATACATTGTACATGTGTTTAGGGTTAAATACTGTAAAAGTCATTGGAAGGTAACATGTTTTTTTTACATATTGATAAATTTCTTGTGTATATTTTAGGTTTATCCTTATTACAAGCATGGGAAAGTAGAGAAGGGAGGCTTTTTGCTTATGAACTGATTTTGAAATATCTGTTGAAAAACCATTGGCTTTATACATTTGGTCCTGCAGGTGCTAGTTATATTGAAAAGTATCAAACTACAGAGACAGAGGCTGATGGGTAACTTTAAATTTTACATCACATATTGTGAAATGTAGAAGATTTCCATTGAAGATTTATAAAACATAAAATGAATGACAAGAATAACCAAAAATATCCAACAGTGCAATAGACCACATTAACTATCAACATATAATCCAAAACAAATGTATGTACAAAAAAGACGAACGACAAAACAACAAACCATACATGTTTCATATAATTTTGACAGGCACAAAATGTGGTGGAGTTGTATGTACACATAAACCTCGCCTGTGTGTTTATCGAAGTGAACACACACAAAAAAAACTGCACAGTCACCAACAGGATAACTATTTATTTGATCAAGGAAATATAAACTACCTTTATTTTTTTTATTTCTTGAGTTTTTCACTCAATCTGAAATTACTAATATTCTTTCATATTAGCACTAAGACACCTATAGATACAGTGAATATTAAGATCAAGTGCAAAGTTTTCAAGTCTTTGATATCAATTTTCATGTTGTTTGTTTACTATCCCATGGACTAAGCTCATCTAGCCTCATGCACATGCCCCTTTTTATGCCCCTTTTTTTCCAATCCATGTTAAGTCATACAAATGGGAAAAGAGCAACCATTCACCACAGTACAAATAAAAAAAAAAAACAATTAAAAATATTTTTTGCATCAGAAGCTCTTTTCTGGATTAATCTTCATCAGGACTGCTCAAGCCTAAACATTTAAAAGCCAGGGATGTATAAACATGTAGAAAAGTTAGGAGCTATATGACCTAAATGGAAATATCAGACACTTCTGATAAGATCTTTTGTAACTCAGACAAGCCTCAACAGATACTTAGGAAATTCCTAGTTTCACAATCCTGCCAATTATCTCTAATAGATGATCAGTTGTAACAAGAATAGGCACTGTATTAATACTTCTTTAATATAAGTGATTGAATAAAAAGAATGTCTGTTTTGCAATTTAAATGAGTTTTATTATGATGCTGGAGTAACTTTTAAACTTTCCATTTCTAGTAGAGGTGATGGTATAACAGGTAATGGATCACATATGCTATATAAGTCACACACCATTGATGCTGGACAAGAGGTAAGTTTCTACTCTTTACTAATGTGCATCGTAAATCAGATTAGTTATTATACATAACTATATTATATTATGATTGAGGTCAAATAGAATTAATAGATTTGTCTTTCAATGTCTTATTACTTTGTGGGGTTTCAGTGGCAGAGTTGTATAAGTATTTCATCTACAGTGATCAGTGATCACAAGCGTGTCAACAGTGAGGTTGCGAGTTCAAACCCTGCTAGTGGCAAGGTATGTTGGGCTCCAATCATAATTGACTAGGATTGCCATTTTTCATGCAGAAGGGGGTCATGGTTCTCTCCAGGCACTCTGGCTTCATCCATCAATAGAAACAAGTCACCATGAAATAGCAAAAAAGGCTTAAAGTGGCGCTAAACAATCAGTCTTATAACTTTGTTGATTTAATTAATGAACTGAAACCTAATAGACTTAATTGATGGGTGGTTTTGTCTGTTTTTTTTTAGAAACCAGGTGAAACCATTTACATTTTGGACTAATTGGATATTCTTTCATAGGAACATTGTTTTATGTAAACCAGTAATGGTTTTTTCTTTTTCACTTGAAATCATAGTTATTAATATCCCAAGCACATATAGGTAAATATATGCCTCTCATATTAGCTATATACTTATGTATTGGACACCATATAGCACCAAGTTCTGTGTTTTAAGATACCGTCTGCTATTTTGTCAACTGTAGAGTTCAAATGATCCCAGTACAAATTAGACACAGAAAGAAATAATACATTTTATCTGTTTATATTTTGTAAGTTTCATTGTTATAAAGTGTATTGAAAAAAAAAGTTGAATTTTGTGAGAATGTTTTCAGTGCATTTCGAGGAAACTTCAGTATTCTAAATCAGAAAAATCTATGTTTGTAAGTATAGTCAACACCTACATTTAGCTCCCGCTGTTTTTACTTTCACCTCTTTGCACTGTATTATTTATTTTGTGGACAGTATATTGTATCAACAGAAGGGTGATACATGATTACTATATAAAAATTTTAGTTTTGATTGATTAACGTCATCAGTTAACTGACTGTACGGTAACATACTCTATATCATATTTACTCTTAATAATTAATATGGTTCTTAAAAATTCATTTGTGTGTTTGGTTATGGAAAACCTAAAGTTAATCCCAGAAAACTACAGAAGTTATGTTATTACAGTTAATAAACAGCTATACCTCAATTTTATGTATATAGAAGAAACTTGACATAAATAACTTTAAAACAGATGTAAATCAGGTTAAAGTTGTTGGTCAAGGTCGTGTACCATGAAGTTGTGGACATATAATGTTGAAACATAGTACACATATTCATAATAATGTGATTTTTAAAAAAATGTATGTAAAATTAGGATTTTGATTTAAATTTAACAGTTACTGAACATGGAACATTTAAATTTGTGGTTAAGTTAGTTTACCATGGAGTGGTCATATCAACTTGAAACTTACGAAATGAACTATTAAAAAAATATATGTCAAATTGAGGTTTTGACCCAGATTTCATTTCACTAAACATGGAAATTGGAGAGTGAGAGTAGGACACAGTGTCCCATAGACAAATATTCTTGTTATTCAATATTTGAAATGACAAATTAAAAATTCCAAATTGTCATAGTTATTTCTTGAAATTCATGTGAAAAATACATTTAACATACTTCAAATGGCACATTTAAATGTTTTTCTATGTTGTATTCTAGATTCAGTTTGTTGAGAATAAAAATTTTACTTGTTTTAGGAAGTTAAAATCATATCTGGTGACAAAAGAATTACAATCCATAGATTTACACATTATTTAATAAAGTTTGCACTTTCCATGCAATGATGTCTCAAAAGTAGTTAGATAATGTATTGTACTTGTGTTATATAATGGTGACTGAGATTACATTTTTTATGTCCAGCAATTTTGATTATACAGATTTATTATATTAAGAAGCCCTCTTCTTAAGCTTCTGTTTTCGGCAATATTTACTGCTGACATGTGACAATATGTCACTCTATTGATTCTTAGAGATTGCTTGTTTCTGGTTTGATATTTCTCTGATAGCCTCTTTGGAATTCTTTGAGTACATACATGCTGTGGCAAGGCTATTAATCCTATTAGAACAGATTCTCAAATTTTGGCTTGTTTATAGAATGAGGTTTTTTGGAATGCTTTAAATACATGCATGCTGTTTTTCAGTCCTTTGAGAATAGACTCTCAGATTTTGGCTTGTTTACAGAATGATGTTTTTGGTATGCTTTGAATACATTCATGCAGTGGCAAGGCTGTTAATCCTTTGAGAACAGGCTCTCAGATTTTGGCTTGTGTGTATATAACAGAGAAGAAAATGATGATATTACTACTCTCAGCTATGGTTTTATCTTGGAATTTGATTTCTTCTGTCTGTGTATTTACCTTAAGCATTAAAGTAAATTGATTTTCTTATATTTAATTTTAGTTCAATGAACAGTAAAAGGACAACATAGTAGATTTTTGTAAGATTTTTGCATTTAACTTGGGGAAGATGAAAGTTAATTAAAAATTAAAAAAATTATTTAACTGCTTCTCCTGTAAGTATAATTGAATAAAAACTTTAAAAAATTGATGCATATTTGCACATAATATCAGTGAAAATGTGTACATCCCTCACTACTAACACTTTTTAGCATGATATATTCATTAAAAACTGCTGTAGTGACCGTGTGATTATTTTAAATCAATTAAAGGGAAAATTCTTAAGTAACAACATATGAATTTTTAAGAAAAATATATGGATTGTTTATAGGAAAAGATGAGTAAGGATATTTTGGGATGATTTGTTTGCTTTCTATACAAATGTGCATTTATTTTAAGAATGTGTTTTCAGCCATATTTCAGATAACAAAAGAGATGCATGCACTATTTTTTATATTTTAGTTATGTTTAAATTATGTGAAAAATCTTATTAAAATCTAAGACATCACTTTACACAGATTGTTTTCACATTACAAATTATTGTTTGTAGTTAGAAATAGACATTTTGATTTTCACTTTTTATTAAATTTAAGTGAATATACTTAGTTGAATTATTCCTGAATATAAATTTGGTTTAAAATAAAGGTCAATTCCAAGAAATGATGACATATATCAGTATTAAAAACAGTCCTCCTCTTAGTAAAAAAACTTGTGATAAGTGTTTAAAATGTTTATTTCATAGAGATGTAGGGTAAATGGAACTCACAAATGTAGGCTGTTCCTGTCATAGGTTTTATTATTGTTCTTTGTTAGAAATTTTTCTTTTTACAAATATGTATTCATATGTTATTATGAAAGAAAACTTTACCAAAGACAGTTTCTAAAATAATGTTTCCACTCTTCAACCGTTATATTATATAAAGACCACATGGATTTGAAATGTGTATCTATTGGTTGCCTTCAGCTGTTGTCTGCCCTATGGTCGGGTTGTTGTCTCTTTGACACATTCCCCATTTCCATTCTCAATTTTATCTATAAAGACTCATCAGTGATGCTCAAATCAAAAAAGTTAAAAGGAACTCACAAATGCAGTCTGTCCCGGTCACATGTTTAATTTACTCTTCTTTGATTAGAGTTGTTAGAAATTTTTATTTTTATACATTTACTTTAATGGAAGTCAACTTAGATGAAGACAGTTCCTAAAATGCTTCCACTCTTTAACTGTATTATTATGTGAAAACCCCATGGATTTAAAATGTGTATCTAAAAATAATGAGTATCTGTTTATATACTACTAACAGCATAAACGGAGACTGAGTTTGAGACAGGTAACACGACCATGCATGGATGTTTCTGGCATGTAGAAATAAAGAAAAAAGAAGGCTTCAATCTACACTTGTCAATATCTCCTCAAAGTGTCTTTCAAGCATAAACCATTCATGTTGTAACCAATTTTGTCACAAGGGTCTAATCCCCTTTTTTGCAGAAGTTCTATGGTTCTTACAGGGCACTAGACTTCCACATCAATAAAACTGGCTGCTACAAGATAGCCAAGAGTGCTGAAAGCGGCATTAAACACCAATAATCAAATACTTATCTGATACATTTTTTTTTCAGTTGGAAGTCAGTATATAAAGATAAATTTTTTCTTGATAAGATTTGATATCCTAAATATTCTTAAAACTTTAAAACTTCTATAAGAACTAAACAGAATGGACCACTTGCAAGAAATTTGGTAGATACATGAATGGTTTATGCTGCATGCTTCATTGCAATCAAAAGGATATCTTACATTCAGTTATGTACACTATATTTGTACTATTCTTAATACAATTATTTGATAATGTCAATAGCTGTAAAACAAACTTGGGTGTTAATGTCAGTAGCTGTCAAATCAGACTTGGTTGGTAAGGCAAAAATAAAATTAAGATGTGTTTTCTGCCTCCCTACCTACCCTAAATTTTCATGCCTGTTATATACATTTTTCCCCGATACATTTTATGAAAATCTTTGGTAAGCACCATTTAAGTGCAAGAGATTTTTTGTTAAGCACTGTAAGTCCGGAACTTTTCCCTATATAGTCTATGTAAAATATATTATTTTAAATCTTTTTACCTACAAACATTAGCTACCTATCTAAAAATAAGGAGATGTGTTATGATTGCGAATGAGACAACTATCCACCAAAGTTCAAATGAAGTGGATATAAGCAATAAAAGGCAACCTTATTTTTTTTTTTTTTTTTTGCCATGAGGCAGGGAACAAGTGTTTATTATGTTTTTCGGTCTGTGCGTCGTTCATCCGTTCGTTCGTCCGTCTGTCCCGCTTCAGGTTAAAGTTTTTGGTCAAGGTAGTTTTTGATGAAGTTGAAGTCCAATCAACTTGAAACTTAGTACACATGTTCCCTACGATATGATCTTTCTAATTTTAATGCCAAATTAGAGTTTTGACCCCAATTTCACGGTCCACTGAACATAGAAAATGATAGTGCGAGTGGTTCATCTGTGTACTATGGACACATTCTTGTTTGGGTCTAATTTCAATGGCTGAAAAAACAAACTAAAAAGTGTATGATAATTCTACTTTTCTAGTTATCTAAATTAGTATAAAACCATAGATTTTTCCTGGAAGAATTATTTCAATTTTAATCTTACTGTAAGAAACTACAAAACACTTAAAATTGCATATGTAATTGAAACCGGGCAAACCTGTCTTAACCATGAAATTGATGCCATTAAAAATTTGTTATATCACCCAATATAAGAAGAGCTGTTACAATCAATATTGCAATGAATTGCTACTGCAGATATGTATCCAATTTGAATCTAGTTTGAAGCATTTTCAATCACCACCTTGTGTTCCAATGGCAAATATTTGCCTCACTGCATTGACTTGCTGCTTTATTGTGCTGTATAGATGATAAGTAAATAAACATAATTATTTTTACTTTCTGAGAATATTTCCTATTTTGTTGGATTCTTGTGAAATAGTAACTTGCTTAGTATATTCCTTATCCATTTGAAAAGATGTGTATTAACTTGTGCCTGGAATTTATAGTACATTTGGAACTTCTCTAATTTTACAATTTTAAGATATAAAAAAGACCAATGTACATCTCTAGAAATTGACAGAAGAATGAGGTCAAATAAAGATAGTAATACATATAATGCTTGTGTTCCCCTTTTATCTGTAATCTTTAACATTTTGCATGGCAAATTTGTGATTCGCCCTACATTACAAATGTTTGTCGTATTTAAAAAATATGGCCTGGAAATCAACTCAAATATTGCAACAGGAACCATACATTTTGAAATGTTCTTTAATATAAATTGCCATATATTTTTTTCTGTGTAGTGTTTAGGGGACTATTATTTGCCCTTTTGTTATTTTGGGGTTCGAAAAAAGATATGTCATGCATCAACCCTGTACCTGAACATACAAATGCTTTTTCCTTATTGTGATTATAGAATAAATAATATTTTTTTCAGTATGGATCCCAGCATCAGAATGGTACAGTGGATAGGTCTCGCAAGTAAGTCATATCAGTAGACAGATACTGGGGGTTTGGATAGAGGATGTAATTGTCACTATTTATTAGACAGTAGAGAGCACAGTTATGAAAATAAGGAGATATTGTATGATTGCCAATGAGACAAATACCCACTAGAGACCAAAGGCCGAGGATGTAAACAGTTTTTTTTAGGGTGTGTGTGTATCTTAGCATCACAAAGGAACATTTGAGAGTTCACGGTGATTTGAATACACAAACAATTGAGGTTTTAGAATGAAAAGTTTTCTTGTCAGTAAGTAACAACTAAACAGCAGAAAACATGAAAAGGCTTTTGTTTATGAACATTGAAAAAAGTGCAGAAATTGCTGCTAATCATATCAATATTGACAGACAAAAAATAAAGTAAATGACCTTTGGAAACGACAAGTTATAAATTATTCTATCTGAGATGACCAGTGTTCTTTTAACTTAAACCTTTTTTTTTTTTTCTTCTTTGTAGACATACTCATTCCCTGTCTGAGGGTCTAGAATCTCCTTATAATCTTAATGGGTCCAGTATTCCTGTGGAATCCTCTTGTAATCATGGGTCAGAGGAAGTGTTTCATCATGGACCAAGTCAGTTTGATACAACATACTCAATACTGATGCAAATACAGGTGCTAGAAAGATCAAATAAAAAGGTAAAATACAGGTGCTAGAAAGATCAAATAAAAAGGTAAAATACAGGTGCTAGAAAGATTAAATAAAAAGGTAAAATACAGGTGCTGGAAGATCAAATAAAAAGGTAAAACACAGGTGCTAGAAATATCATATAAAAAGGTAAAATACAGGTGCTAGAAAGATCAAATAAAAGGTAAAATACAGGTGCTAGAAAGATCAAATAAAAAGGTAAAATACAGGTGCTAGAAAGATCAAATAAAAAGGTAAAATACAGGTGCTAGAAAGATCAAATAAAAAGGTAAAATACAGGTGCTAGAAATATCATATAAAAAGGTAAAATACAGGTGCTAGAAAGATCATATAAAAAGGTAAAATACAGGTGCTAGAAAGATCAAATAAAAGGTAAAATACAGGTGCTAGAAAGATCATATAAAAAGGTAAAATACAGGTGCTAGAAAGATCAAATAAAAAGGTAAAATACAGGTGCTAGAAATATCATATAAAAAGGTAAAATACAGGTGCTAGAAAGATCAAATAAAAAGGTAAAATACAGGTGCTAGAAAGATCAAATAAAAAGGTAAAATACAGGTGCTAGAAAGATCAAATAAAAAGGTAAATAACAGGTGAAATAAAAAGAAAACACAGGTGCACTGAAGACCACAAAAATGGTAAAAATTTGGAAAATGAAAAGAAAAACAGGTTCTAGAAAGGTCAAATAAAAAATATAATTTACTTGTGAAATTTAAAAGAAAATAATTGTTTTGAAGGATTAAAAAGATGAAATTATAGATTTAGTCTATAAAAAAATGCAATTAATAGAATCAAACAGATTGTAAAATACAGGTGAAATAACCTACAGACTACAGGGTTTACAAAGATAGTTAAAAACTAAAGAGACGTGCATAGAAAATGAAATTTAAAGATATATTGATTCTTCATTATTTATCTTTTTTTGGAAGAAAGTGTGTCTTCTATAAGCACAAAAGTGCTGACAATGCCAGTTTAAAATTGAGGACCTTGAAGATATATGTACGGTATATTTATTGAGTTAATTATACTTTCTGGAGAGAATTCTTTAACACAACCTTATTTCTTTTAATAGTGCTTCAGTATGACAATATTTTTTTTTTTTCTTCAGAAAAATCAAAAGAATTGTCAGCATTATATGCATAGTACATCATTAGAGGAGGTGGAGAAATTACTCAAAAATAGGTTAGTTTTGTATATCATTTGAATATACATTTGAAGACTAAGGCTAAAACATTAAATAGATAAATATTTGCTAGCATTTATAATCTCAGATTAATGACACATAATAAATTCTGAATATGAATTAGTTACTATGGATTTATTTATTTTCCGTGGATACCATTTTTTGTGGATTTAGAAAAACTTGTATTTTCATTGTTTAGACAAAGTCTCCATAAAGACCTATATAAAGTTTGTTGACTAGATGGACATTTAAATTTAAATTAGATTACCTGTACCAACAAAATCCATGAAAATAAGTATCCCAGGAATAATATTGAATCAGCAGTAATAGTAGTAGTGGTGCCATTAGCATCAGATAATATTTAACTCTTGAGTTATCCCACAGTAGTAGAGTAGACACTTGTATCAGGAAATAATAAACTCTATTTAACCAGAATTAATATTCCAGACAAAATAACTATAGCAATTACTCTATATTATAACCAAGCAAAATTTAATTTGAGAGAATTTGTAGTTCCATTTCATGAAATACTCTTTACATATAAAAATTTTAAACTTGATATCTAGTTTTAGGGTATATGATTCACAGGTAATGAAAAAAATTAAAACAGAATTTTTTGAAAATGTGTTTTAGATACATTTATGTCTGAATGGAAAAAAAAGTCTTTTGATTATTGATTATCATAGGCCAATATTACCTCTGGACATTCTGTAAATGCTACATAAGATTTTACAACATGATACAAGACAACTGTACTGTATGATGCAACACTACTGTACATTATTATACAACACTACTGTACAGCAAAATGCAACACTACTGTACAGCAAAATGCAACACTACTGTACAGCAAAATACAACACTACTGTACAGCAAATTGCAACACTACTGTACACTATGATGCAACATTACTGTACAGTTTTTCATGAATGTATGGTAAATTGTTAAGACAATTTCTTCTTGCAGTCAACAGAATAATTCTAAAGTAGAAGAACTCCTCAAAAAAGATGTACATGTGGTAGATGTGGATTTTCTCAGCAATATCTTAATAACAATTCTTCATCAGACATTACAGTGTATGTCAGACAATCAGTGGGAACTCAAAAGGATGTCTAAACAGGTTAGTCAATGATCAGCTGGGTCTCGTATGTATATCTAAACAGGTTAGTCAGACAATAAGTGGGAACTAAGATGTATGTCTAAACTGGTAAGTTGATAATAAATGGGAACTCTGACATATGTCTAAACAGGTAAGTAAAAAAATTAGTGGGAAAGAAGATGTATGCCTGAAAAATTCTCAAAAGTATCACTGAAAAGAGGTCCATAATTAAACTATAGTATTCATAAAAAAATGGAATTGTTCTTGTCCTGAATTATTTTAATATTCTAATCTGATGTTGAGAAAGATAGTTGATTTACACAATAAATGATGATTTTGGAAGCTATAAAAAAAAAGGTCCGTACCAAATTCCTAATAAATTTTAGGGAGAACGTTTCTTCAAGTGAAAATATGTAAATAAAAAGAACTTTTTGGTTTATTAAACAGTGTCAAAGTTATGCATGGTAATTTCAAAGTTATGTACAGTAATGTTAAAGTCATGCATGGTAATAATGTCAATATTAAACATGCCATGACATAAAAGATTAGGTAATATATAAAAAAATAACAACATTTAAGTAATTATGTTTTTTTTTCAGGTTTTACCATGTTTAGCAGAGGTGATACGATGGTATGACATCAATATTTTAGAAAATATATGGAAAGCTTACTTGCCAAAGAAAACTTGCCTGTTGACATATGCTGCTTCTGTAATGTTAAAGGAATCAGTGGTGCATTGTGTCAAGTTACTTCCCTTGTTACAGAAACCACCTAATGCATGGCAGGTAAGTTATCTCCCTTGTTACAGTAACCATCTTTGTGCATAGCAGATATGTTACCAACCTAGTTACAGAAGCCTCTATTGTGCATAGCAGATAAGTAATTTCCCTTGTTATAGAAATATCATACTGCATTGCAATTTACTTACCTTCTAATGCATTACTGTAACATATAAAGTATCTCAATTGTTACAAAAATTTCCATATGTTTGGGTGGTGAATCATTGCCTCTGTTCAAGAAAGTTTTGGCTTAAGATAATTATAGTTTAAGTAAGTGGACATTTTAAATTTTTTTGATGAAAAGACTAGGATATCTGTGAAGTCACTCCAAAAATATTTGGTGTGGATATATCATTTATAACCAATAGCTAGTATGTTTGCTCCAGAAATTGAAAAAAGGTTTTATAGTTTCCTGGTATATTTTTATGATTTGGCTACGAGTAGTGAGAGGAGAGAAACTTCTGTGATATGTGGAAGGAGGATTAAAACTTGTAAAAAAAATAAGAATTGATAGGTTGATGATTTTTCATTGGTACCCATCCATGTTTTAAGTAAAATTTTAGGAAAAATTGTTAGTTAAGCATTTTATACATCTTTTACATTATTAATATTTTAGTGTATTGTGTGCATTTTTTGTAGTCAGTATTACAATTTTTTTTCACGAATATTTTTTTAGGACCATGACATGTGTAAACGAGTGATATCTAAAATAGTCTCTAGTGTAACAGTGAATATACAGAGTTATCTGCCCTATGTTGACACATTACTACAACGACCTGTGTTTGACAGATTATCAGTGATCTCAGCCAGTACAATTATAGCAGCACACAGTTATTTTAACATTCCTAATGATCAGGTTAGTTCACAAATTGTTTTCCTTCAATAAATCAACAAGTCAGTCAAAAGTATTTCACATTAAATAGGTCAACTAATGTTAGCTCTCATCAACAAGTTAATCAAGCAAATTACCATCAACTATTCAAAGCAAACTCATCTGTTCTCATTCAACAAGTCAATCAAATAATTTCTTTCAATAATTTAGTAATAGAAAATTATCTCCATTCAACACTTAGTCAAAATCAGAATAATTACTTATTTCTGTGAAAGTGCTTTTATTCGTGGGATACCAGTTTTTGTGGATGGCTTTATCCAGGAATTTAAGTGTCCAGCGAAATATGAGAACTGTTCTCCCAGTTATAGAACAAAAGATGATTATTTTCAAGAATCTTTTTTTCTGATGGCTTTAAATTCTTCACTTGATTTTTTTCAGAAAACTAAAATCCATGAATTTAAGAACCCACAAACATTTAACATTTGTTAAAACCATGAAAATTGATACCCATGAATAAAAGTACTTTCACAGTAGCAGTTTAGTCAAAATCAAAATTGTTCTTTTCAATAAGTCAATTAAATAATAGCATGTAACATGTTTTTCAAGTCAGTAAAGAGAAAGCAATTGTTATAATTTTATTTTTTCATTTTTACATGTTCATTTTTATTTTCAGAGATTTAGTCAGATAGCTACCCTGTTGTCTTTCTGGAAGTTACTGTTTTGTTTTTCTCACCCTAATACTAGAATTTCCAAAGAGCTACTACAAGGAGCAGATATACGTCTCTTCTCCTCACCATTTGAAGGATACCTCAGGTAACGAGAATTATAGTAAATCTCAACAAACAGTATAAAATAAGGATTTGTGGTATGACACAACTATCCATCAGTCCAAATGACGTGAATTTAAGCAGATATAGGCTATTGTATGGCCTTCAACAATGAGCAAAATACATACTGTATAGTAATCTATAAAAGGCCCGAACATGAAAAAATGCGAATAATTCTGACAAAAAAATCAACAGCCTGATTTATGATAAAACATTGACAAAAAACAAATATGACAGACAGCAACCAACAACAATCACTGAGTTACAGGCTCCTAACTTTGGGACAGACAGATATATGAGTGTGGCAGGGTTCTGCTAGTAATGAGACGACATTCACCATTAATAGAAAATATATCAGAAAAGTATAGGACTTTATTAAAGCTATACTGAAAAATCACTATGGAAAAAAAATGATTTTTTTTTTCATCAACATGAAACATAAAAGGCCAATCAATTTGTACTTGAAAACTGCCTTTTTTTTTGCATTCCCCTAAAATAGAAAAATCTGACCTTGAAACATGAAAAATGTCTTGTATGAAAAAAATTATTTGTGAAGGCACCATGCTGAAAGAATGCCTGTGTTAACCATCATAAGTCATCTATCTATTGTATCCATATTGTGTAGTATTAGTAATGGCAGGATAAGATAAAATATGATTGATTATTTTTGTATTATTTATGTTTGTTTTCAGCTGTTGTCTGGTGAAACCAGAGACAAAACTACAGTGTGCCAAACAGGTAGGCTGCTTATCTATTATATACTATTTAGTTATAAATTACTCAGACTGAAGTTTCTCCCTTTTTAGTGGTTTAATTATCCTCTCATCTAATAATATTAGAGAGGGAATATAGTATTTCATCTGGTCATCCATTTGTTCATTTTTTTGTACATTTGTCCAAATTAAACAACTACATATCATAGAGGAATTGTCTTTTGTCACTTAATGCTTGATTGGTTAACACTAAAATAAGGTTACTGTTATTTTACATATTATTTGCTTTAGTTAAGTTTTTCATTAAGGGCATATGATACAGTTTTGATCCCATGTGGTTTTTTTTTATTGTCGAGCCTGCGACATAGCGTTAACTAACTTCTTAAAAGCTTTATACTTCAGAAGGTGGAAGACCTGGATGCTTCATACTTAGCATATCGATGCCTTATGTTACGAAGTTTCCGTCTATCACATGTCCATTGTCCATGACCTCATTTTCATGGTTCAGTGACAACTTGAAAAAAAAAAGTTTAGATTTTTTGTAATGTTAATTTCTCTCTTATTATGAGTAATATGATAATTATATTTAGTAGGTGCGTACCTTGCAAGGTCCTCATGCCCATCAGATAGTTTTAACTTGACCTCAACCTCATTTCATGGATCAGTGAACAAGGTTAAGTTTTCATGGTCAAGTCCATATCTCAAATACTATAAGCAATAGGTCTATTATATTTGGTGTATGGAAGGATTTTAAGGTGTACATGTCCAACTGGCAGGTGTCATTTGACCTTGACCTCATTTTCATGGTTCAGTGGTTATAGTTAAGTTTTTGAGTTTTGGTCTTTTTTTCTAATACTATATGCAATAGGTCAAATGTAATTGGTGTATGGAAATATTTTATGATGCACATGTCAGTCTCGCAGAATTTATTTGACCTTGACCTCATTTTCACGATTCATTGCTCAGTGTTAAGTTTTTTGTGTTTTGGTCTGTTTTTCTTAAATTATAAGCAATAGGTCAACTATATTTTTTGTATAGAAGGATTGTAAGGTGTATATGTCTGTCTGGCAGGTATCATCTGACCATGACCTCATTTTCATGGTTCATTGGTCAATATTAAGTTTTCATGGTTAAGTTTGTTTCTTAGATACTATAAGGAATAGGTCAACTATATTTAATGCGTAGATTGATTGTAAGGTGTACATGTCTGTCTGGCATGGTTAATCTGACCTTGACCTCATTTTCATGGTTCAGTGGTCAATGTTTAGTTTTCCTGGTTAAGTCAGTTTCTTAGAAACTATAAGCAATTGGTCAACTATATTTAGTGTATTGAATGATTGTAAGGTGTACATGTATTTTCCCGTTTGGTGTATCTGACCTTGACCTCATTTTCTTGGATCATGTTAAGTTTGTGTGATACTTGTAGTAAAGCTTTATATTTAGTACATTCAACATAAAATCAATGGTCAGTAAAGAAGGCGAGACATTTCAGTGTGTGCACTCTTGTGAAAATTTGCGTACAAGCTATTTTTCCACCTAATCCATTCAAATATGTAATAAAATTATACCTTATGTGCCATTTTAGAGATAAATGGGGTTGAAATGTTAAACATTTGGACAGATATATCTAACTTTTTTGTTTCAAAAGATAAACAAGCAACAAAGTGAATTTAGCACGATTTCTTTCATGTACAAGTGGCTAACTGCCTCTTATGTTTTAATGCTGTTAGATTTTTGATGATCACTATATAGCAAAGGGTTAAATAAACATGATCTACACACTTTCTCTACTTTGCCAAACATACCTTGACCTTCATAAATGATTAAGAAAAATAAATTTGAATAAAAACGATAAGATATGTTCATGTCCTTTACCAAATTTATCCTATTACAATGTTTCACTTTTATTTTCTTTACAGGTTGAGAAGTTTTTTGTGACTGAAGTCCACCATGGGATCAAGCCATTCCTTCTGAGTATACCTGTAGAAAGTTCCTCACTTATGTTACCTGTTGTAGCTCATTATACTGGACTATTTATAGATAATAATCATGTCTGTAAAACTATGTGTGATTGGTGAGTTTACCTGTAGAAAGTTCTACTCTATTATTAATGTTTTCTATTGTAGCACATTATACTGGACTATTTATAGTTAATAATCATGTCTGTAAAACTATGTGTGATTGGTGAGTTTAACAGGATTTCTAAATTTTCTTGATATGTAAAACTAATGTATATTAGTGTTTAAGTAATTTGTGAGACTTAGAAGATTTCTGCAATCTACTTATAGATGTATTGATGTATGTTTTGATATGTAATTTATGAATCTTAGACTATTTGATCACACTGTTGCACATACTTTTAAAAATGTGAAGCGCAACTTTCGTCCAAAAAGATATTCACACAGGAAGTGTATTTGTATTTATCTACTCACTGGCAAGAAATCATTTAGGGGGAATCTTATTCTCTATATTGATGTAGCTTAAATATTCAGGATACTATTCGTTTTGAAGGAAAATGTTTAAAATATCTCTTGCTGTCAATTTAATTACATCACTGTCATATTGTGTCTTCAAGACTTGACCAAAATTAACTTTTTCTGAAATTTTTTCTGAAGTTTATTGTAAAAAGTAATGGTATCATGGAAGTGATTTCTATAATTTTGTCAAATGTTGGAAAATGTTAAGTTTTCTGTCGAATGTCAAATGATTCTATATCTTCAAATTCAAAAAAAAATTTGGATGTAGTGTTGTGCACTTGCAATTGTATACTTGGTTTAATAGTTATGGAGCCTATATCTTTTGTTTTAGCATCCAGTTAAGGTAGGTTGCAATAGGTTTTGAAGAGAGAAACATACTTTTCTTGAATCCTCTTGGGAGCTTTGAATATAGATTGGTCATCTTTGATCTGTTTTCATTTGCTGTTTTGAATGGCATTTGAGAAAGCTTCAGGGTGTGTTTATATAAAATTATTAGCGGATATTTAGTTCATGTTTGCAAATGGCTAACAAGCTTTTAGAACTAAACACTATTTTTTTGTTTTACAGTTTGAATACCTTGGGTTCTAAAATAACAGATTTTGTGAGTGGTTTGACAGATCAACAACAGATACAAGGTTGTCTGAAGTGTATACATCTTACTCTGAAGGAGCTAGCAGCTATAATTACAATGAAGGTAAATATACCATTAAAGTTTGGGGGTTATATAGGAATCAACCTGTGTCCATATTCTATCCATTTGCCTTGACAGATATTGTTAAAACTTTAAACACTTGTAGAAAACCACTGAGGATGTTCATTAAGGAATATATTTCTGGTCTTACATGCTTAAGGGGAGATAATTCTAGTTAGTGTTAGCATGATGTAAAAAAAAGAATCCTTTTTTTCTACAAGACTACCACCTAAGATGGACTTACAGGATAAAGTGACGATTCGAAACAAGTCAATCTTAAATATTCCAGACATTATTCTGGATCTGATTCTACTAGACTTTTAAAATGGTTTTAAAAGTTTGTGGCTCAGAAGAGAATGTGTTTTACCAAATTTAATGTCTTCGGCTAAATAGCAACAAAATCAACCACCTCCCAACCTGGAAACTGTAATAAAGATATTAAATTTTATGTATACAGTATTTGAAATTCTTAATTTTTATTCAAATTATAAATTGTTGTTTTTTATTTGAAGACTGCAGACCTACATATGGTACAGAAGATTCTCTCAGCTTATTTAGTCCTGTGTAAAGTCATTAATCCTACCAGACATCTTCGAATAATACTGGTTGCTATATGTTCCAGAGTTAGTGATGTAAGTATACAACTTTCTTCACATGATAAATATAAGGTAAAATATACCAAACCATCTCCATTGTAAAGAGGATAAAAAATATAATTTCAGAGGACAATATACAAACTAGTATTGAAAATGCAATAAGTTTTTGCCTTTGGATGATAAGCAAGCAAATAATCAAGCAATCTATGAAACCTTCAAACAGAAAGCTCTTTGTTGGACAGTATGAAACATTGATTAAGACATGAACCAATCTTGATAACCAGTTATTGACCTTGATGACAATAGATAAAATTACTGGTAGAAGTAATTGTGGCTTCAAATTCAAGTTGTGATAATGCAATACTTTCTTACTTGATAATTAGTAGAATTAAATGCCTTTTTGAAGATTTAGAAATATGATGTAATGAATGAAGTGATTCATCAACTTTGTACTTGTTTGGCTTTATAACTTTTTTTGATCTGAGCGTCACTGATGAGTCTTATGTAGACGAAACGCGCGTCTGGCGTATTAAACTGGTACCTTTGATAACTATCATCCTTAGAGATTTGGTATTAGTTTGTTTTCACATTGCTTACATATGACATCTTGCTTACAGAGGCATGCAATTGTAATTCATCAAGATATAACCATTATTTTTATACGACCGCAAAAAAATTTTTGTGGTCGTATATTGGTATGACGTTGGCGTCGTCGTCGTCGTCGTCGTCTGGCGTCGTCCGGCGTCGTCCGAAGACACATTGGTTTTCGCACTCTAACTTTAGTTTAAGTGCATGGATCTCTATGAAATTTTACCACAAGGTTCAATACCACAAAAGAAAGGTTGGGATTGATTTTGGGGGTTATGGTACCAACAGTAAAGGAATTAGGGGCCGAAAAGGGGCCAAAAATAAGCATTTTTGTAACTTCCAGACATAACTTGTGTGTTAGTGTATGGATCTCTCTGACATTGTACCACAAGGTTCCATATCACAAAAGGAATGCTGGGATTGATTTTGGGGGTAATTGCCTCAAAATTTTAGGAATTAGGGGCCAAAAAAGGGGCAAAAAACAAGCATTTTTCTAGTTTCATGACAATAACTTGTGTGTAAGTGTATGGATTTTCTGAAATTGTACTACAAGGTTCCATATCACAAAGGGAAAGCTGGAATTGAGTTTGGGGGTAATTGCCGAAACGTTTAGGAATTGGGGGCCAAAAAGGGGCCAAAAATAAGCATTTTTCTAGTTTCCAGACAATAACTTGTGTTCAAGTGTATGGATCTCTCTGAAATTGTACTGCAAGGTACCATACCACAAAGGGAAAGCTGGAATTGATGATGGGGGTATTTGCAAAAAATTTTAGGAATTAGGGGCCAAAAAGGGGCAAAAAACAAGCATTTTTCTAGTTTCAGGACAATAACTTGTGTGTAAGTGTATGGATCTTTCTGAAATTGTACTGCAAGGTACCATACCACAAAGGGAAGGCTGGGATTGATGATCGGGGTAATTGCCTCAATATTTTAGGAATTTGGGTCCAAAAAGGGGCCAAAAAACAAATTTTTCTAGTTTCCAGACAATAACTTGTGTTCAAGTGTATGGATCTCTCTGAAATTGTACTGCAAGGTACCATACCACAAAGGGAAGGCTGGGATTGAGTTTGGAGGTGATGAATCATAAGGGGGTTCAAAAAATTTGGGGGGGGGGATTTTTTTTTTTTTCCTTTTTTTTTCTTTTAAAATTTTCCATTTTAAGTTGGTTATTTCTGATTTATATTTAAAAGCAAATAATAATGATATGGTAGGAGATACACACCAAACAGGATGTGTAAATTATTATATAAAAAGTATTGTGCAATAGCAAGAAATTTTCAATTGCACAGTATTGCACAATAGCAAGAAATCTTCAATTGCACAGTATTGCGCAATAGCAAGAAATCTTCAAATGCACAGTATTGCGCAATAGCAAGAAATATCCAATAGCACAATATTGCGCAATCGCAAGAAATTGTCAATTGTACAGTATTGCGCAATAGCAAGAAATATTTAATTGCACAGTATTGTGCAAAAGAAGATACTTCGTATAAATTGCTTATTTCTTGACCAATTTCAATGGGGTTTTATTCTTGAATTCTTGGGGTTCTTTAATATGCTGAATCTAACCGTGTATTTAGTTTTTGGATTTTGGGCCCCGTTTTTAAATTGGTCTACATTGAGGTCCAAAGGGTCCAAAATTAAACTTTGTTAGATTTCATCAAAAATTGAATTATTGGGGTTCTTTGATATGCCGAATCTAACCGTGTATTTAGATTCTTAATTTTTGGTTCCGTTTTCAAATTGGTCTACATTAAGGTCCAAAGGGTCCAAAATTAAACTTAGTTTGATTTTAACCAAATTTGAATTCTTAGGGTTCTTTGATATGCTGAATCTAAACATGTATTTAGATTTTTGATTATGGGCCCAGTTTTCAAGTTGGTCCAAATCTGGGTCCAAAATTAAACTTTGTTTGATTTCAACAAAAATTAAATAAATGGGGTTCTTTGATATGCTGAATCTAACCATGTATTTAGATTTTTTGATTTTTGGGCCCCGTTATCAACTTTTTCCACATTGAGGTCAAAAGGGTCCAAAATTAAACTTTGTTTGATTTCATCAAAAATTGAATTTTTGGGGTTCTTTGATATGCTGAATCTAACCATGTATTTAGATTTTGGATATTGGACCATAATAGGTGAATGTCCAATTTAAAATGTTTAAGTTCTTAGACCACATTCATTCTGTGTCAGAAATTTATGCTGTGTCAAATATTTAATCACAATCCAAATGCAAAGCTGTATCAAGCTTGAATGTTGTGTCCATACTTGCCCCAACTGTTCAGGGTTCGACCTCTGCGGTCGTATCAAGCTGCGCCCTGCGGAGCATTTTATTTAAATTATGTTACATCTCATTATGATAAAAGGTTCTGTGTATAACTTCTTATTCGTTGGGCATTTATTTTTGTAAATTTTGTTGGTAAAGGTGAAACAGGAATTCAAATAATCAATAAAGGAGAAATTGCTGACAGTATGCAGAATTTTGAAAACCGTGAAATAAAGTATCCATGAAACTACAACTTTCCAAAAATTAATGCCCATGAAAATGAATGAATCAACTGTATTTATGACGGATTCTGATTATTTCTATGACAGAATGTGTATTTTAACATGGAGAATTCCCCACGGCAGGATGATGACTTTAACCTGTTATCAAATGATATCCCTATGTCTGGTAGTCCTGACTGTATGGATGAATGGGATGGTGAAGATACAGCTATTATGGGTAAATACAGTACTGGAAACATGCAGATTTTTATACTTAGGAAATTACTTGTGTTTATTTTAAAATATCAAGAGAATAAACAACTTATTGATAAAGCCACAAAAGAAAGCTCAAAGTTCTTTCATAATCTAAAAGACAGAATACCATCAAAGTTATCAGGATAAGTGCTCATGATTGTTGAATTTTAACAGGTCCAGCAACTTGGAAAAATCTGTAAATCTCCCCATTTTTAAATGGAGATTTTCTTTCTGGAACCAAATGTTATACGAATATTTCAGAAGGATCCCAAAAAGCAAACTACCGTTACAATGGGACCTAGTTCCAAATTTTCAAAATTAAGGATTCAAGACCTTAAAATAGGAACACTTATTAAATTGGAAAATAATCAAAATTCAAAAGGAGGTTGTCGAACCTAACAACAAGACCTGAACAGACTGACAATTTCTACTGCTGAGTGACCACCTTCTTCAGTCATCAGGTTGACTATTCTGTCACTTTTGACAAGTCAATGTACAGAAATGAAACTATTTTTTCATTGTTGAGGAGCATAAACTGTAAAGATTCTATATATAGCTGGTATATAACAGCTTAATATTGATAATATAATATAATTTTAGCAAACAGTCCTGGTACTTTTCCTGAATGTTTGACTTTAAACTTGAGTAATAACAGTGGTAGTTTACCATCTGGGAGACTCAGTGCCCTGAGTCAGCATAGCGACAGGGGAGGTAATAAGTCTCCAGCGGAAAGTGAAAGTGAGGATGAGAGTTCTGATTGGGACAGCTGGGATGAGGAACCTGAGGTACAAAACTGACTAATCATATTTCATGTTTCACTTGTAAATAATGGCTATAGGATAAGAAATTTTGATTATACATGTAAACCTGTAACTTAAATTACGATCTGAAATATTTTATACATGTCCAAACTTTCTATAATTTAAAAAAAACAAAAAACAAAAAAAAAGTGCACTTTTTATAAATATTATGCAATATACACTATTTTATAATAAAAATATATTTAGAATTTAATTTTATTTTTTGTAGGGACATTCTGCATTAAATGAGACCTTCTTTGATTTTCTACAGAAACTGAAAAAGATTTGCAGTTCAGGTATATTACAGAAAGGAGAACATATAATTTTTAATGAGTGATATAAACTCTATTTCTGTCATTGATGGTGATCTCATGTACAAATAATAATAATAAAATAATTACTTGAATATCCAAAGAAGACATCATCAAGTATAAAGCATCTCACGGGTAGAGTTGAACCTTATAAACAAAGCTTATATGTTTTGGTTGGTTCACTGAAGCTTTACACATATTCAAAAATTTGAAGATGTGGTATGATTGCCAATGAGACTCTCCACCAGAGACCAAATGACATATAAGTTACTGTGGATTCATTTTTATTCGTGGTATACCAATTTTCGTGGGTTTCGTGGGTCACAGCGAACCACGAATTTAAGAATTCAATGAAGAATAATCCCAACAAATGTGTATGGAGTCGGATGTTTATTTCCGGTTATGTTATGCAGTTCTAGTATAGTGTTGACTAGCAATAAACATTGTAACACAACACATGTTTTTATTGAAAGAAGATACAAGTATTTTGATTAAATCAATAATAAATATATCGAATATCAGTGATAATTTACTTTTTAAAATTGATTAAAACTGTTCATGGAAAATAACTGCAAGTTGTTAACTACCGTGTCATAGTTTGGTTTACTGGTGATTAAAAATTAATAGGATTAAGTACGGGGATATTGCCCGTAGGTGATATTGTTTATGACAGGAACATTTATTTTCACACCTTTTACTTATATGACTGTTTATTATATCGTGATTAGGGAAATGAGCTTTCAATCATAGAGTTTTGAATGCCTTATAAAATTCCGTCAAGAATTTATAAATTGTAATACAAACAAATAATTAGTTGTCTCTGTCCATTATTGTAATAGAAGTTTTCAATGAACACTTTAACCTAGAATGACCAAGCGAGGATTTTGACAATTCAAAACTTTTTCAATGAATTCCTTCTTTTTTGTTTGTTTTATTATTGATCAAACTAAGGAGGTTATACGATCTCCTAAATCAAATAGAAATCCACAAATTACGAATCTGAATTTTTATTTTTTTTTGTGATCAGTGATCTACGAATTTACGTATACCACGAAACGTCTTTTTTTCTCTATCCACGAAAATTGATACCCACGAAAATAAATGAATCCACAGTAACAACTATAGGTCACTGTACTACCTTCAACATTGAGCAAAACCCATTCCGCATAGTAAGCTATAAAAGGCCCTGAAATGACAGATGTAAAACAATTCAAACAAGAAAACTAATGCCCTGATTTATGTACAAAACAATAAACAAAAAACAAATATGATATACAGCAACAAACAACAACCACTGAATTGTACACCACAGATATGTACAAAAGAGAAATAGTTCAGAACCAAAGTTTTTACTATGAATTAGTAAACTTTGAAAATGAGATATCTAAGATGGAATTTCATATTAACTGAGACCTACCTGTTAATCTGACAGGTGTCATCTAACCTTGACTGTAGGTTGTTCTCTGGATTTATAGTTTGACTAAATCATGATGTTGTTAGCTGCCTAATTGTCTTTTAACTCTTTTATTGTTGTAAAAATCTGAAAAACATACGATATTTTGTCATTTCAGGTTCAAATGACAGTTTTACATTAGAAGTGAAGAAATTAGAAAGCAGAGAAAAGTCTTTAATTAAAAGTTTACTGGATTGGTAGATGTAGGCTTGTCATTGTTGTTAATCTAATAACCAAAATATGAAAGGTTTACTACACTATAGATTTACTGGACTCAAAACATGAAAAGATGAGATTAGTCAAACAAAAGCTAGTGAATACTGATCAAACAAAGACTGGGGATTGCTCGATCAAAAACAGCTAGTGATTACTCGATCAAAAACAGAAAGGTGATTACTCGATCAAACAAAGGCTGGCGATTACTCGATCAAAAACAGCTAGTGATTACTCGATCAAAAACAGAAAGGTGATTACTCGATCAAACAAAGACTGGTGATTACTCGATCAAACAAAGAAAATACTGGATCAAACAATAGTTCACTCAATTATCATATCAGATGTTTCTATATTTTATAGATTTAAAATAAATCTAGTGAGGGTTTTTTTCATTGCTTAATGAATTATTCACTAGATTTATGAATTTTTTTTATCAATTTTTCTTAATGTTTGTCTAGATAGTTAAGTAAAATTGTGAAATCAGCTCATTTTTGTAATTTATAGTGCCAAATTAATATTTTTCTCTCAATTTTTTGTTTACAAGAAATAAAATCAGTGGCATATTCAAAAAGCTTCAAATCTGCATAGGGGCCTCGGTGGCTGAGTGGTCTAAGTAGTTACTACTGTAATCACTAGCCAGTCAACACTGAGGTTGTGAGTTCGAACCCCGCTCGTGCAAGTGCACTCAACTCTAATCTTAATTGACTAGGATCGTCAGTTTTCCTATCGAAGGTCTGTGGTTTTCTCCGGGCACTCCTGCTTCCTCCACCAATAAAAACTGGCCGCCACGAAATTGCCCAAAAGCGGTGCTTAAAAGTGGCGTTAAAACACCAAAAATCAAATCAAATCAAATCTGCATATCCATTACTTGTTCTGAAAAAAAATAAAAATCAAGATATTCTCTTTTGAAAGTAGAGATGATCATAAAATATTTTGATGCCTAACACATTTTCCTTTTTTTTGTTATGTTAAAGTTTTTAATTAATAGGTACAAGGGTTTGTGGTTATTTAACCTTTTTTTCATTGTATTATGAATTCCTAGTCCTAAAACATTGATATTGACAAATGCATAGCTTTAATTGTATCACTCTGATTGTCACATGTCTGTCATGTGGTATTATTCAACAGTCATGTGATTATTTTCCTGAATATATTTTCCTCTAGACCTGACTTGGGTATAGAATCTCGGTGACAAGTGTTGATTATCAATATTTCGTGTATGTTTAGGTAAAAACCTTACTATACTTGATTTGAAAAAAAATGTATTACTTGTAAATCTACCATGCATGAAGTATGTTAAAAATTGAACTATGAACATGAATAAGAAATGATGTGTCCCTTGTTAATCTACCATGCATCAGTGTTCTCCCCAGGCCGTTTTAGCGTCGCGGCACCGAGACGCTATATTTTTTTCCCGTGATGCTATAATAATTTCCACGACGCTATAATTATTTTGAGGATGCTATTTTTCTTGTCTCTATATCGCAAAACCATGTCCTAAATTTTGAACTTTCATCTAATTACCGCTTGTGATCATAAAAATTATATCACCTTTAATTGTAATCCCTTCAAGTCCGAGGCAATTTAGAGTGATTAAATAGGTGTAAATTGCCCTTTGGGTGATAACTGAATGGATACGAATACCCCAAGCTGACACTTGTGACATGACTAATACCACGTGGTCCAATCGCAAATTTCAACATGGAGAAAATTTAATCAGAAAATCAAAAAACAATTCGAAATCTACGTTTGCATTAATCCAAATTCAAAGATACAAACGATTTCTCTCTTTAAGAAAAGAGGTTAGGTCGTATATTTTTACATTTTATAAAAAAATTACTTTCTTTCATTTCCGGTATCTAGTTAATAGAGAGCGTACATGGCGTATATTAAACATTTTGATTTTGAGTTAAATAAGTTTGATACTCCTTTAGAAAGAGATCATAATTGGCTTTAGTTAATGTTTCATCCATTTAATGCATTTAAAGCGTCATATGCATTCCCAATCTCTTGTCAAACATTGTTTATTTTCGTAAATTTTTCTTCCGCCGCCATTATATATGTGTAAACTACGGATCGGAACCGGACCAGATATGACAAAATTCTGCATTTTTACGATAATAACTACAGATGCACACATGGCACAGTAGACAGAAAAAATTATCACAAAAGAGAAAACTACGCATTCCACACGCATTAACAGACTATCTATTAGATATCTTTGCTAAATGTATTCTCTTTGAAAAAGCATTGTTTTAATATACTGACTAAACATGCTAAAGTAGCTTAACTTTGTTAAAAATATATATCATTTTGATATAAAGAAACAACTGGGACTAATTCATTGAGTACCATTAAACAATGAATTTCATAGACATGATAAAGAAAAAAGTTTTTTAATTGAAATGTTATTGCTATATGATACATTCTCTTCCCTTTTTATATAAAAACCAGTTCTTTTTTGTGCTAGATTTTTAGTATTTCATATATACAGGTTGCACTATAATAAACCATTCATTCATTCATTCATTCATTCATTTAGTTGAGTAGGTAGGGTAACTGGAACCACACATATATTTTTATTTGGTCCAAGAGGAAAAAATTAATTCTGTAACTATAAATGAATATAGAAAACATAAACTGAAACAACTGTTATCATGGTTATAGTTTAATTGTATTCTCAGTTATGAATTGAACAATATTATTATAAACATATATAACATAAAGGAAATAGATCATCGCCGCGATGCATCAAATGTCATTGAAAAAAAATGGGGTTTTTTTTACGCCAAATGTGATGCTATCCAAAATTTCTAGGGAGAACACTGTGCATGAAGCGTCATGGCCGTACAGTGACCTTTAGTTGTTGTTTACATCATTTGGTCTCTGGTGGAGAGTTGTCTCATTGGCAATCATACCACATCTTCTAAATTTTATATATTTGAGTCAAAACTTTTGTAGGGATATTGTTCTCTAAAGTTATCAAATTATAGTTTTTGAGATATTCATTTGGAAAAGTAATATATTCATCCATTACAATTGCTTGAATATTAGTTAGAGATATCCTTCATATGCTATTAAGGGCATACGATACAATTTTGATCCCACAGTGATTTTTTTACGAAAATTTGCATACAAGCTATTTTTCACCTAGTAAATTCAAATATGTAATAAAAAATATACCTTCATTTGCTTCTTTAAGAGATAAATGAGGTCGAAATTTTAGACATTTACTAAAAATTTTGGTTTTTTGGACATTTCTACCCTTTGGATAGACATAACTAACTTTTTTGTTTCAAAATAAAAACACAAGCGAATTTTTGTAACAACATTTGGAAAATCTTCTTTACATAAGTATGCTCTAACTTTGTATAACAATTCTTTGGAAATATTTAATTTTTATCAAAGTTACATGATTTTAGAAAAATAACGGCATGTTTTGCTGTATATTTATCTTATTCAAAAAAAATTCATCAGTGACTTTTTCATAAAAATTGGTACAAATAATCTTCATACGAAAAAAAACCTAATGTCATTTTAAAAAAGAGGGGTCCATGAACTCGTTTTCAAGTTAAATCAGTCGAAAAATGCATCTTTTCCCGATATGTCACAGTTTGACGTCACGAAAATAACATTTAACGTTAGCAACGTCATTACCTCCCCTGTAACTAGTACTGTATCGTATGCCCTTAATTTCAGTTGCAAGCTTGTCTAATGAAATATCCTATTGGATACTATATCACCAAAATTCATTTCGTAACTCTTACTTTATACATACTTTCTGCATGGTATGTTTTATTGGACAGTAAAGTTGTGTATCATAACAAATAAAGTGCTCTAATTGAAAACATAATGATTAATATATTTCTCTGATTTTTTACATTTTAAGTATCTGACAGAGCATTGATTGATTATTGTTGATTTTTCTGATTTTAATGAGAAAGTTGAATTTGTTGATATTTTATAGTTTAGTGAAGGCGTTACAAATTGTTATACTTTTATATTATTTATTTGTTGTTTTTATTCATTTTTGCAATCTGATCTGTTGTACTTTTATCAATCTGCCATATTTAAGTCATGTGATATTTTCATCATATTTTCATGTTACTATATGTTCTTGTGTAGCTATTTTATTACTATATAAACTATACCTCACTATAGGAGTTGAGTCTATAATGCATTTATCTTGTCCATCCAATCGTTTAATAATATTTCTGTCATACTTCTCTCAGGTACTACCGGTACTGAATAGAATGACTTCATATTTGGTCAGCAGTTTGACAGTCATTAGTTGTGAAATGTGAGTGCTTTAAAGGTCGGTTTCCTATACTTTGAATTAAGATTGGGATCGGCTCTGACAGCATGACAACTGATTTCTAATTATTTCATTCTTGTCATTAGAATGTATGAGAAATTGAGTTGTCTTATGTATGCAGTGACGCACAGATGAGATTTTGTTAAATAGATTTATGCCTCAAATGATCAGGCAAAATTGAGTAAATCATCACAAAACAGTTTCTTTTATATTTTCATTTGAATTTTAGGTTACCAATGTATAGCATTAAAGCCCATACATCTGACTTTAACATCTGATAACCTAACTTATGGTCTATATCATCAAATGTATTATTTTATTATCTTAGAAAATCAAGGGAAATAATACAAACTTGAGATAAGTATATTCTCACAATGCATGTACTTGATGATGGTGCTTTTTAACTTTTTGTAGTGAAAAGAGATAATCTTATAAAGTTTATATTGTTTTATATAGTGAAATAAAATGAAAAGAATTAAGAATTAGAATTTTTGGCCCTTACATATGTTTTTGACCCTATTGATGCCTTAATTACATATGTTTTGGTCCAGTTAATGTCTTTACTACATATGCCTATGGCTCTATAATGGCCTCTGTTTGATATAACACATAAATATAAGGCCCTGTAGCCCCATGGATGTCTTTTAAAATTACATACTTTGACTTCATGCTGGTCTAAATAGTATATTTCACCATATTTTTTTTTCATTTTTGTGCTGAAATAAATGAGTATAGTATCTCTTTCACTGGATAGATAGCTGTTCAAAATCATTTTAGAAATATTATCACTAGCTCTTTTTATGGCTCATTTTAATCAAAATTTATATTAAAATTGTGACAGGAACCATATTTTATTTACTGCATCAGCATGCTTACTTTGTGTTTGTTTTGTTTGTACAACAACATTTTAAAGAGTAATTTTTCATTGACAACATTTGATTTCTCTGTATAAGACAGAATACAAATTCTGTTTGTGAGTAGTAGAATAAATTATGTAGTTTTAAAAGAAAACCATAGAATATACAAGTACCTGAAAATTATGCTGATCTGTATATTCTCTGTTTGAAAGGAGAAGTCAATACAGTTTCTCATTGTTTTTGTAGAACAAAATGACAATTTAAAAAAAATATAAATTCAAAGATAAGCAATGATGCTTGTTTTTAATGAGGTTGAGGCTGAAAATTGAGAACTTTTGTAATATTCTGACAAATTTCTTCTTTTAAAAATTGAATTTCTGATGATAAATTAGCCAATTGGTTTTAATTGATATTATGTAATCTCTTTTAATAAAAATCCAATTACATTTGAATATTAGCAGTATTATTGCAATACCCCCTTTAAGTTATTTTATCTTTTGTTGTATGAACTATCAGTAAAACTCTGGCTTGTATTAAGTTTTAATTGATTTTTAATCATGTTTTGAAGATTTCATTGGCACCACCACAGCATTTGGTTAAGAATGTTTCATATTTTTATCATTGACGATCATCTTTAATGTTGTGCCAAACTGCATCTGATTTATTGATGATATGATTCCTGTGCTGTTTCTGTGCTAGATAAAGACTGTGATTATTGTATTTATTGTTCATTTTATCATGTAATAATTTATTATTCATTTCATCATATAATAATTTATTTTTCATTTTATCATGTAATAATTTATTATTCATTTTATCATGTAATAATTTATTATCCATTTTATCATGTAATAATTTATTATCCATTTTATCATGTAATAATTTATTATTCATTTTATCATGTAATAATTTATTATCCATTTTATCATGTAATAATTTATTGTTCATTTTATCATGTAATAATTTATTATTCGTTTTATCATGTAATAATTTATTATTCATTTTATCATGTAATAATTTATTATTCATTTTTTACCATGTAATATATCATAAAAGCATCTGTAATGTAATAGTTCTAGTCTCTGTCATGATAGAAGTTTAGATACTTTCAATTTTAATATGAAAACAATGATTTAATAGGAAAAATGTCAAAACTGTTGTTTTGTGTATCTGTTTAATTTAAGAGAAAGATCAAAGTTAAAAAAGTTTGAAACTGTATTAAAAATGTTTAAAGTTATATCATAGTTGTTACTGTATATACTATAGAATTACTGAATATGGCTTAAATTATGGAAGAAAGAATGTCAAGGTTTTTGAATATTAATGAATTACCTTTCTATTATTATAACATCATCCAATGAAAATTCTGCCAATAAATTTTTAAGATGTATCATAACAGAAAAACAGATTAAGCAACGAGTGAAAAGAGGATCTGTTTTTCAATACACCTTATCCTTATTTCGTCCAATCTGGAAAAAAACAGTCACTTAGACAACTTCCTGTTTGGGTCAAGTGTCGCAAAACAAAGGTCATCAATAATGAGCTGAGGGACAAAAAAGAATAGAAATTAAACATTTTGAAATTTGATTGTTTATTTTCTAATTTTCTGAAACACAAATTAAAAGTAAAAAAAAATGCCTTATTTGAAGTGTTTACGATGGTTAAAACATGTCTTGTTGAAAATTTTATGCACAATACAGTGTTTAAACAGGGCCCTAGATAGCTTCAAGTGGTTTGTGACATCATGAAAGTTGTGTAATTTCAGAACTTATCCTGATAGGAATAAATTGCAATAAGTTGTATAAAACTGACCTCATTTCACTTTTTTTTCAAACAATGTTTGATAGAACTGTATTGTTTAAGCTTATTTTTGTGAAATAATCAATAGATAGATATATGTTAGTACCAGCAGCATTAATTAGATATATTTATGCAAAGGAAATATTAATAATTGTGTTATATATCTTGCAATATTTTTTGCTTCTTTGAATATATTTTCATGAGGAAGATGACAAGATCTACCGGTAATTGACAAGGTTCATTCATCATGTACTTTAGTAGCATGAAGGTATATCAATATTGTTGATTTTATTATATTTGTATTTTGAAAGAGCTATGTATAACAAAACAACTGTAAATGTGACTCATGCATATTGAATACATTTCAAATATCAAAGTTTCTCCCTCCCTCCACTCGCGTTATAATTGAAGAAAAATTAACGTAGGAATATTTTTGTGACTTATAGTCTGAACCCAGTTGCTGTTGTCTTGTTCTTTGGTTGAGTTGTTGTCTCTTTGACATATTCCCCATTTCCATTCTCAATTTTATTGATCACTTCATTACTAAAACAAAAAGGACAGATGATAGATCTTTTTATTACAAGAAAACAGCAAACCATTTGACGCAAATGGTACAAGGAACCAGACTAGATAGATATTGTGTCAACTGAGAGAGGTACTGTAAAGTGCTCTATTCTCGTGGAGTTTAAATTTTCTAGGATCAAACGTCTTTGTATTGTTTTAGTTTTGCTGTATTCTCGTTCTCTCTCCGATCTTCCTTATATGTAAAATTTATGTGAGGGGACATTTTTATGGTTTTATCCGAATGGCAAATTCAACGAAAAATGAACCCCTTGTGGAATATCCCACCTTTAAAGTATATAATCTGTTTTCAGGTGCTGTTGGAATTTGTGATGTAAAATAAGAAAGTTAATTATTGGAAAATTGAAGTTATCTCTTTTATTATAATGTATAGTAGTAATTTTACACAAGAATAAAACATCGCAAATAGCATTACCTAAATAATATTTTAATACAGTCTTTTTTTACAGTTTTCAGGTAGTAGGTAAATGTATGTAGATTTTGGTTGCAATTAATTGCAGTTGACTGTTTTGTTTTTTGAAACTGAAATGAATTCTTGCAGAAAGGTATTATTTGTTGACTAGCTAGATATTAGACATATTTTTAAGCTTTGCGCCAGTAATTTATGATATAAATGTCCGTCCAATTATGTAATTGTAAATATAAAGAATAATATTTATTAACTTATTTATATTGATATTTATTACTGTTTTTATGTCAATAAACTGTCAAAGGAAGAAAAATTTTCAGTTTATATAAAAATAAGAAGATGTGGTATGATTGCCAATGAGACAACTGTCCACCAGAAACCAAATGACATAGAAGTTAGCAACTATAGGTAACTGTAGGGCCTTCAATACTGCATAGCAAGCTATAATAGACCCCGAAATGACAAATGTAAAACAATTCAAACGAGAAAACCAACAGCCTGATTAATGTACAAAACAATAAACGAAAAACAATTATGATATACAGCAACAAACGACAACCACTGAATTACAGGCTCCTCAGATTTCTTTACACTTTTGATACATCCACATTGCATCATCCTCATCCAATAAGTTTGAAGGACAACCTTTATTTGACCAATAGAGGTGTGTTTCGTTGTCCTGTCTTTTCTGCTTCAGTGAC